AATGCTCTAGGATGTACATACACTTTCTTGCTATATTTCATGAGCTTATAAAACAAATTCCCTACCCAAGCTTGTCCACAAGCAACTCATTCTAGGACAATAACGAGGCCATTGAACTGCTCCATTCCTCGGCAATAACAGTTAAATATGCTAACAATTACACAAATCTTTAAAAAAAATTACAAGATTTGTTTAGAATGCAGTGTACAGCCGTCTGCAGAAATTTTCATCATATTTTTGGTTTTTAAATATACAGCACACTCACAAAATGACTAACTTGAGAAAAAAAAAGAAACAGTGGAAATTCAGCAATGATTGAATTGATTCTTCAGGGTTCTTCTTATACATGATCTGAATACAACATGCCATGAGAATCCCCGACGCCTAATTTGTGGATTGTTGATGACACGTCTTTGAATTTAGACATGCCAAATAAGGATTTCAGTCTAGTGATGTGTTGGGTCAGATTGACCAGGCCAAACCAACCCAAAACATTATTTTGTAAACCGAATCCGAACGGAAACCAATTTGAACTCCCTAAAACCAATCTGATCCGACCCGACAAAAATTAAGGAAAACCAACGCAAAAAAATGTTGCAACCTGACGCCACTTCCAGGATTGTGTACAAAGTCTATGTAGAGTCAAGACAATTTTAAGTATTTTCTAACAAAATTGGAAATTTATGAAAAAAAAAAGTGGCGTCAGGTTGCAAGATTTTTCCCATGTGAATTTCCAAACTGTTTGGGGTTATTTTGGGTTGAACTGACTCAACGCAATTAGAAGACTGCAAACACAATACAGAAACCGACCTGACCCGACTAAAATGGACAAACTGATGGCGACCTAACAGAAAGTCAGTTTAAGTTTGGTCGGTTTCTGGTCGGGTTTGAACAACACTAATCCGGTCGCAGAATAAAGTTTCATTTCATGGTAAATAAAGTTCCATTGAAATAGTTGCGAACTGTCTGCAAGTTCAGGTGTTGTGTTCAACTAGTCTTGACAGGAAAAAGGGTCAATCACTCTGCGTACTTGGCCTGTAAGAAAAGAGAAAGAGAGAAAACAAATCTAAGTAATAATCTACATGTATTTTGCTGATGTTTAGGAAGGAATTGTTTTAGACTACCATGACTACTTCAAAAAATCCCATCCCCACGGCAAGATCTGAAAAAAGTACCAGAGAAGAATTGTTCTTCATATTTTATGACTGACATGAATTGACCGACAAGGACAATCTTGAGTGATGCCTGTTTAATTTCATGAATTAAAAAAAAAAAATCTGATTTTTAATCGTATAGGCCTAGAGTAGTAGTATAAACATTGTTCGTACTTGTGACATGCAAAACTAACGGGTAGGAACCTATTGTCGACATCGGTGGTAATGCACCCACAAAATACGCACACAGTACACACAACCCGTACACAAAATACACGTATGACGTCATTCGAATCGCACATCGCGACTGCAATCATGCAATTTTCGCAAATATTTCGTATCAAATTAAAAATCGGCGGTAGAACCTGCAAAGGTGGGAATGCTATGGTTCGAAAGCGTAACTCTTCAACTTACCAGAAAGTGACGAATTTTGTCCCCAAATATCCCAAAACAGTCAGGAGCACCAAAAAAGTACAGGCATCGTCGAAAATGTTCGAGAATCACCTCTCATTTCACATCGCTTATTTATAACTTTAAGCTTGTAATAATCAGCAAAAAATGGTATCAATCGACGCAGAAATTATCGTAGTTTCAGAATCCACTCCATTTTTAGTCAGCTACTGCTACGAAACGGGTTTCCTGTCACTTTATCCAGGGGCACCACCGAACACTCGCAAAACCTCGTGCAATCTCGAACGGTCCGAGACCGTCCACGCGCTGCAAATAAAATCTCGCTGTGTGGCTCATTATCGAGTAGGCTGCGCACTGACTGAAAAGGGCGCCCTCTTTCGTTGGCACACGGGCCCATTGCATCATGCACAAATGCTCAGGAGCTTTCCTCAGGACATCCACGATAGTTAGCAGGAGGTCGCAGGTTCGACTCCCACCTAAGTACGCTTGAGTAATCTCTAAGAAAGCACCAAGTTTACAGAGCTTTTATTATTTTGGTCAGAGGGCCATTCCATAAAATCCACCGTATATCCGACCACATGATGTACATATACAAGATCGTAAAGGTGGTGGTACCTTAGTTTGGTCTTGTAATCGTTTTCTACTCATTGGATGTCACATATAAGTGGTGTCACATATAAGTGATGTATCACATTCACTTTTCCAACAGCAGCTCATTAAAGTGTCTGACATGTACGTCCACATTTACAAAATAGCCCCACAGGCAAATTATTTTTGACAAATCCCTTCATAAATGAACTTAACCAAAAGGAAAGATGAACAGAAAAGGGATGGCTGGAAACTGAGCGATGAGTCTTGACTCTTCTTGACTCTTCTTAGACATAAGATTGAATAGCGTGCTGTCTGACTGCAGAATCGAAGGATTTTTGTGTTTCTCCTGTTTTTCCTTGCAATGGTTCCTCAGTACTAGCTTTCTTTGCTTTGATTGGCTCTTGGACCTGATGTGGTCAAATCCGGCACATGCTACGGGTCGATATGCACCAGCTGGATTACTGCCAAGGCCCACACTTTGTATACATCCACACACTGATGTGCATGAGCATGGGTCCTAATCTAGCCGCTTTCAATTGCCGGGTGCCTCATTTTATAGTCCATTTGTCCGCTCCTCTGACAGCGGTCGACTGTGAAAACGGAGCGTGAACGCAGGCACGACTTGGGTGATTGAGCGGCACGGCAGTGGATGTTTACTGAGGGACAACCGATTGGGCAAACAGAGGGCCTGGAGGGTTTCACGGTGCCACTTCCTGGATTGGTACGGTGCCTGTGTGCGCTCTGAGATCAAGGGGTAGGGTAAGGGGTAGGGGGGGGGGGGGACACGGGGATGTCTTGGGCATAGCGCTTGAGTTAGCATTGGAGTGTCTGTTGTGATGCCGGCGTGGCATTATAAGCTACGGATCAATGGCGGTATAGGATGCAAGCAATAAACTGGCTTTGATTGTAAACTGACTTATAGTTACCGACAACAGGTTTTTGAGAACAGACTCTCACACAACCATGTAGGCTATGCTTCACCGATTGATATGAGAATAATCATCATACATTCAACTATGTTCAGGGGCTCTTTCATAAGAGAAGCCAAAATAATATTTACTTAGGCCTATTGCAAAAAGCCCCAGAGATAAAAACAACATAGGACATTTAAGTTTACTGTTTATCCAGAGTTACTTGTATGTAAAGACAGGAAAAATCACAGAATTATAATGGTTTCTTTGTATAAATTATCTGATCACTTCAAAATGCAAATGATCATATCAACTTCAACGATGATAAAATTACGTCTGGTATCTTTTAAACATGACATTTCTGTGGCGTCTATCTGCCATAAAGTCAAGTCATAAATAAAACTTACGTGCATAGCATTAATAAACTTTAATTTATGCAAATAATTTAAGCCAAGAGTTTTCCCTGTGAATACCAACACAACATGATCGCCCCAAGTCAACTCACAGCTACACTCTTAACCGCATGCAGAATCGCACGCTATATATGTACATGACAGATTTGCAAAAACAGGCTTACCAAAAAAATCTTCATGCAATGTACATTTGTACATTGCTTCTTAGTTGATCTGTGCTGTGCACATAAATTGTAATGCTGTAAGCTGGGAAAGAAAACAGAGAAGAAAACAAAGAAGAAAACAGAGAAGAAAACAGAGACGAAATCAGAGAAGAAAACAGAGACGAAATCAGAGAAGAAACGGAGAAGAAAACAGAGAAGAAAACAGAGAAGAAAACAGAGACGAAATCGGAGAAGAATCGGAGAAGAAAACAGAGAAGAAAACAGGGACGAAAACAGAGAAGAAATCGGAGAAGAAACGGAGTAGAAAACAGAGAAGAAAACAGGGACGAAATCGGAGAAGAAACGGAGAAGAAAACAGAGAAGAATCAGAGAAGAAAACAGAGAAGAAAACAGAGAAGAAAACAGAGAAGAAAAACAGAGAAGAAAACAGAGAAGAAAAAAAAACTAGAGGTTTGTCAAAGGCTTGTTCCAGATCTTCCAATGTGCGACAGGTTTAACCAGGCAATGTGATTTTGATCACTCATTGCTCTAACCTGCCATTGAAAGACGCTCGATCCCTTTTGCCAAATACATGTTTTGATATTGGCTAGTGGTAATAGACAGGTACAGTGATGTACGGTCAATGATTAACCAAGCAAACTACTTGAGCTCCGTTTGTCAGATCGTTCATTAACGCTCTGCCTTCCTTGCATTCAAAATGCAAAGCGGCTTTTTGATAAGTCATTAAAAACTTTATTTAATACCAATTTTTTAAAATAGTGATCAATACACGTTTAAATGCAGTGCCACTGCCAGAAGGGAGGAGAAAATTCCATTCTTACTGCAAATTCTCTATGAAGTTTCTCTCCTCAACAAAGGGGGGGGGGCTTGAAGAGGAACTTTGCTCCAACACAATGTTGGTGACAGTGCTCAACTTGAGCTTCACTCAAAAAATCTCAGCCACACCCTTTTGTTTCCACAAAAGTTGCATATTTATACAAGATACCTTTCGGTTTTTTCATTAAAAAAAAACACAAGTAGAATATTTAACCATCTGGTTAACACTCTCAAAATGTGTTACAAGGACAACGCCTACACTTTTTTCTTTTTAATTCTAAATGAAACTGAGGTTGATAGTTCGGTCTGTTTAGTCAATGAAGTCAATTGGGATGGAATCACCGAATGTAATAACAGCATTTCCGGCCCCCGCGGCCAATACTACAGGTGGCAACGTTGCAGCAAATCGTTTTTCCATATCACCGCATCCCAATCCGCAATACTGCGCTCTTCCTCATTATCGGATCCAGCACCGGTGAGCTGTAAAACTTCACTCAATTTGGGAGCCGACAAGTCCCGACTCAATATCCAAAAAAAAAAAAAAAAACACCCTTTTCCTTTTTTCTGTTTAAAATTCACATGCTTCTCTTTGTTTTAGTTTCCTCCTCCCTTTGCCACGCACCTGTTCGTAACAATCTCGCCTGATTTAACGTGGCCAGAAGCCAAACGGAGCGTTTCTCCGCTTACACAACGCACACACGGCTATCCCTGTCAGTCACTGTGGGCCCTGACGCGTTGCCGCAGACTCCCCCGGTTTTCATTAAACCAGCCTCCCAGTAGATGATACGTTGGCAGCCGGTGTCAGTCCGGGAGAGACGACACGGCTTATTGGTTAAGCTACACCGTATGGTGTGGGACGGAGTGCCTGCAGGAAAAAGGTAAGGGTAATGATTTCCCTCAACTGGTGATAATCCAATCTGCTCACACGCAGGCTCTGTGGAGAGGCTGTGCTGAGAACTGGACAGTCTACCTGTATCGCTGGGGGAGTGGAGGTCTCTGCTGTGCCTGTGAGTGAGACAGCATCACTGCAGAATGCTCCGTTCCTGAGAGGGTGGCATAACAGGTTCGGCTCTGACCGCAACGACATGTATACATAGTCTCAAGCCGGATTAGGATGATGACAAACTGTTTGGCTGTGGGCTTGGGTCGATTCCAAACCAAGTGCGGACTGATCGCGGGAGAGGCATCAGGGAAGGATTAAAACTGCAAGTGAAATGTAATCTTTAGCCTGGTGATTTATTGACCAGTGCCTCAGTGACTGGACCGTGTTGGACTTTCTTCATAAAAAGTAAGACAACTTTCTTTTACCTTTTTTTAAATTCATTCCATTTTTTGTTAGCTTATGAACTGAAAACAAACAATGTAAGTCTGGTCTAAGTTGCTTATTTCAAGACTTTAATTTAAAGAAAAGTATAGCATTCCAATGAATTGCCTAATTTCAGGGTCTGCCTGTTGGAATGTGAGAAAACATTTTTTTTAAATTCTCAAGAACTTTGTATTGCTGCATATCGTTCATCCGAAATCTCCTAAACAAATCTTACAGTATTGGACAGTTATCTGGTAAAATTCCTATCAGATTTGTGAATTTCTCAAGTCAGTCCATTCTTCAATAAAAATGTGATTCATTTTAAACATTCACAATGCCATTACCATGCAAAAAGATTTGCAGAGCATGAGACTTAAAACCACAATGATCGACAACCCAGGGAGTGGTACACTTTAGAAAAAATTGAAAGAGAACTAAATCAAAACAAATATTGAAAGTACTTACAAAAAAGTAAAAAAGAGGAACCAAAAACAAAAAGGAAAAAGAATCTAGAGCCTAAGCCATACGTTAGAACTAAAGGGAGGTAATTTAGATTGGTACTGATTTACAGGGAAATTATTCAAAAGGCTGCTTGTGTAGAAATTCATTGGCCACAAATTAAATAAATCAAACTTGTGTACACCAAGTTTTGTTCAGTTAACACAATCACACATAACAATGTATGAAAATTTCTCTCGGAACTTTTTCGTTCTAAATTTTTCCAAATGTTCAATGTCTTCAAGGGCAGATCCAGGAGGGGGGGGGGGGGGGGGGGGCAACGGGGGCCATGTCTCCCCCACCCCTAAAAAAGAAACGAACCCAATATTGTGTTTTTGTTAGTGACGTCACAATAAAGGCAGGCACTGCATACACCACCATCTTTTCCTCAAAAAAAAATGTTTAAAGTGGCCGGAAATTGCCTCAGATTGCCGTAATTTTTTGGACCCACTTTTTGGGGACCAAAATTGTTTTTGGCCCCCCCCCCCAAAAAAAATTGTGGTCTGGATCCTCCCTTGAATGTCTTTCACTTGACTTTACCTATGACATTTACTTATGGCAAACACTGATCGTGTGTGAAGAATAACATACTTGTAGTAGGATGCTAACTTCCTAACATTAAGAAAAAACACTTGCCATTGTAAAAAATATACTTGAAATCGGAATCTGAGTAAGCACTGTTCTGATAAAGATGCGTGATGGTGCCTGTAGGAGCACTATCTTGACAGTCAAGCACGTGTGTAATGCTTCACGCACATCAAACTCAAACAAGGCGTGTGAATTGCGTAGAGAGTGCAAATTTGCAGCGGTTTGTACATTAGAACCCACTGTCTGTCATTCGGCAATTTTTTTTTTAAGATTTATCAAAGAACACTACAAGTTTCCTCCATAAAAGAGTCCCTTTGTTTAAAGGGAAGATACAACATTCGCAAACTTCAAAAAACGAATTGATCAAATTATCACAAAATATCTTACTGGGTTGTTAGGGAATAAAAGTCTAAAGCATCCTGTAAAGTTGGGGCTCCTGGTGTGCTGACATATTCAAGAAAAACTGCATTTTTCCAACACTGGTCGGCCGACCAGCGTTGGAGAAAACTGGCTTTTTTCAAAAATTGCTCCGAATTTTTCATATTTAGTTCGTCTGCATTTTCTTTGCAATTGATCACACACCTGTGAAGACTACAAGCCTGCTAGACTGATTCTCAGACCTTACAATTCCCCAAAGTCCATAAATTGCTCCATTTCATCTTAAGTGGCGTCAGGGAACCAGACTACAAAAATATGATTGGTTTTCTTGGTTTTTCCAACTTCTACGAACCCAAAACGTGAAACAAGTCAGTGTTACAATATTTGCCATAACATACTAATCATCCAAATCCATTTATTTCTGAAAATTGCAGCAAAAGCAAATGTTGTACATTCCCTTTAAAACCAGAAAGATAATTGCTCATTGTATATGAAAGTGTTAGCCCAAACTTTATGACATTTTTGGAAGGAGTCTTGTCAAATCAACCACTATGCCAGAACATCATGATGTGCTCTTTATACTTCAAGGGTCTTCAATACCAAAGAAATAGTGACTGGGTTTTAATTACCTTCCTCAATCCTACAAAATCTTCCCAGACCTCCTGCTGTGATCTGGAAGGGTTACGGCTTATTCATTGTGTTAACTTCTTGATATTTGCTGATATGAGAAAAAGAATCAAATCTAAGATATCATGCAAGGTTTTCAAAACAAAAAAAATCTAACAAACTGTATTGAATAACAAAACTTATGGACTTCTACTCCAAATATCAAGAATTTAATTTTGTTTGAATGGAACAGAATTTAACCAAGATACAAATTATTCACAAGATGGGATTAGCATCAGGATGATAAATTCAATATAAGGTTTTGCCCTTCATTGAGGTATTTTATCAACACTGTGTAATAATAATAATAATCGGCATTTAAGAACGCTCTTATTAGTAAAGTAACTCACAGCGCTTACAGTATTATAATTACCCCTGATCATTGGGCCAATTAAACATTCCAAATACCATCTCAGCTCCCTGGGGAGTATACAGCTCGATGCTGCCTGTTAGGCGCAAGCAAGCTTATTCAATCACAATAACCATCTCTGCCCTCACAGGTACCAATTTACTCCTGGGTGGAGAGAAGCAACGAGTGACAAAGTGCCTTGCTCAAGGGCACACGCACCATGACCCCAGGCTGGACTCGAACCCACAACCCGCAGCTTTACTCAGTGTTCTCCCAAGTGATTTTGAGGGAAAATGTCGACAAGCTTACTCGGGTGGGATTCGAACCCATAACGTCCCGCTTACTAGTCTGCACTAGTAAGCAGGAGGTTGTGGGTTCGAGTCCCACCCGAGTAAATTGTGAATTTTTTCTGACAGTCACTTGGGACATGACCGTTTATAAAATACAATGTACGTTGGTAAAGAGCAAAACCACTGAAGATGCTAGTAGAGAGGCTTGCATGTACAACTACAAGGAACGCCAAATCTTTCAGATCACTGGCACTTGACATTTTCCTCAAACTCCAATCTACAAGATCTACCGGCGATTCTTCTAACATGCTCGTCACACTCACGCCGCAAACGCAACCCGTTACAGACGCCAAACCATTCGGAATCACGCAATCAACATTGCCGAGCGGGGGGAGGTTTTTATCGCAGACATCATTAAGTGGCTCATTGGACTGGACACAGAATGTTGATGTGTATGTGAACATGAGTGACATGTTCCATGACTGACACTCTGAATTGTTTTCCCTGCCGATACTTTCCAGTCTCTATTCCTCCTGGATAGAGACTGTACTAAACAACTGTCACATACAATTTTATCGATGTCTTGTGCATTCTTCTTCTTGAGATAAATTTCTTGAGGCTGGTGAAAATGTTTTTGGAGATAGGGCCTGACAGAATTAGAATATTAATACAAAAAAATCACACAAAGTGATCAAAAATAGACACAGAATAACTAGAATTAAGAACTTTTAGAAAAACTGCTTTTTAATTTGATAACATATAGGCCTAGGCCTGTAAGTGTGTTGTATTGTTGCAATAATGCTGTTGAACCGTTACACAGTCAGTGGTACAGCATACATTTTGTGCAATCAGGGATCGGAGTGAAAAACATAATGGAATGGAATGGCTGCAGGTTTCCTAATGTGACTTCCTTTGATTCCTAGTTATGGAAGTTTCAAGGAAGTTCCATGGAAGTTCTTTGGAAATTCTGGAAGAAACAATATATGGATTGTCTGGGTTATGTTCCTTTTTTCTCTTGCTTCTTCTTCTTCAAATTTTCCATAATTACATTTTCTGCTTATTCCTACTGTAACTTCCTCGATACCCTACAACAGAAGTTCTCAATTTCAAGGAAGTTGTTGTAGATCAAGACATTCCCATTTCTCTTGCTCGTTTTCTAAAATGCTGTTTTTTTAACCCTAACCGCACCCAACGCTACAAAATACTACTGGTAGTAATATGTAGTACTCGGTACTGAAGCTCATTTTTGTGCTGTGCTGGTAGTAATTTTTAGTACTCGGTACTTCACCTAACTACAACAAATAGTACTATGTAGTAGTATGTACTGGCAGTGTGTGGAGGGAAACTGTCTGTATTCATCTAAGGCGGAAACACAACATGAACTGCTGGTTTTCAGAGATGATACAATTTTTATCTTAGCCTTCTAATTCATGGACAAAAATAACCTGAGCCTTCTTGACTTAACCCAAGTCCCTTGAATCAAATGGCTTGGATTGGAGGTAAACTGTCTGTATTCATCTAAGGCGGAAACACAACATGAACTGCTGGTTTTCAGAGATGATACAATTTTTATCTTAGCCTTCTAATTCATGGACAAAAATAACCTGAGCCTTCTTGACTTAACCCGAGTCCCTTGAATCAAATGGCTTGTTGTTTTTTTTTGGTGTTTTTTTTTTTTTTTTTTTTTTTGAGATTTTTTGTATTTTTTTTTCTGGAGGTTAGTGGAGGTTGGGGAGGGTGTCCTCGATCCTGTTGTTCTTAGTTGTCGGTGTCGGGGTCCTCTGCGACTGGAATCCCGGAAATGGCATGGTATCTGTGGGGAAATGAAACAACATTTGCCATTTCTAATTATTTGCAATAGAAAGAATTTTGTTTTTTATATTTGAACTGTCAATAGCAAGAAGGAGCAGCAACTTTTAGTGATTTTATCAACAATGTTTGTGAAGTTTGTTATTACCTTGGAAAGCAGTAGCTTGTGCAGAGATGGACGCCGCAGGCAGCACAGCCAAAGTGCGTCTTCACTGGGAAGCCGGAGGGTGTCTTCTTCTTGTCCCGGGCACACTGCTTACATCCTTTGGGAAATTTGGCACCCATGTAGACAAGGCTGTGAAGCCCCCCAAAGTTGTGAAGTGGCACTCGGGGTGTCTTTGGCTGCCGTTTGGTCTTGGATCCATGTGCGTAGCCTTGGATGAGCTGCTCGGCAACATCCATGGTGAAGTGGCAGTGGTTCAATGGACCAGATTCATCATAGGATGTGTCGTCTTCTGATCCATCAGAGAGGTGTTGCTGCAGATGCTGCTTATAGCACAACCATCCATTGACGCGGCAGATGTCCACTAGGAAATACACGACCTGCTTCCACCAGTCTTGGGATTTCCTGTTGATAGCATGGTAGCTACGTAGCTGGTCAGCCCGATCTACGCCGCCCATGTGCTGACAGTAATCGATGACTGCTGGTGGAGCTGGAACCCGGTGGGCCTGCCGTGCCTGGGCACCTTCGATGGTGTAGCGGCGTTCCACAAAGTCTCGGGCTGGGTCCCTGAAAGCAGAGTGAGCAGAGGACAGAGTGGACAGCAGGGAAGAGTCGTTCCACAAGGTGTAAGTCAGCTGTCCACTCTGTCTTGCGTAGAAAGTCCCCCTAGGTGTCTTTCGGATGTTCTGAACGGCGGCCAGGTTGGTGCTATTCTTCTTGGGATTGGCAGACAGGTCTAGAGGAAGTCTCGCCGAATTCATCTTGATCGCCCCAGTGAGGTAGGTCCCTCGCTGTAGGAGCTGGTTGGCCAGGTCCCTCGACGTATATAGCTTGTCCGTGAATATATGATGGAAGCGGTCCAGGTGAGAAGCAGCCACTGACATTGCAATGTCCACCATTTTCTTTGGGGTCTTGCTGTGGGTATGGATGACAAAGTCGCATATGTAACCGGTGGAACTTTCGGCCATGGCGTAGACTTTGAAACCTGCTCGAATCGGTTTGCATGGCATAAAAACTTTCTGGCACCATGCACGAAAGCCTCTGTAGGGGATCATCGCCTCGTCAATTGCAAGATGTTTGCGGCAATTATATTTGGTGCGGCAGTTGGCGAGGATGTTGTCCCAAAGGGTCTTGAAGTAGAACTTCTGGTGGCTGCGTATGTAGTTGAATTTGGCCTGCTTTTCCTCGGTGGTGGTGGATGGCATTTTTTTAGGGTCTGCCCCTGGGTCGGAGCAAGCAAGATGACTTGCCAGAACGTTGAATCTCGCTCTTGTCATTGTCTTGGCAATAAGATCGTTCCGAAATCCAGGCCTGGTAGACCAGTAGTCCTTGGCATTGGCGATTCTTGTCAGGCCCATGATCATGTGGATCCCGAACCAGGCCCGGATCTCGGCAGTTGAAGTTCGATGTTCTATATTGGCCAGTTGTAGGTTGATGTTGGTCATTTCGGCGATGAAAGAAAACAGGGCCAGCGAAAAGAACTTCAAGAAGTAATCTACTGCCCGCATCCCAGCTTGCTTGGGAAAAGTTGGCCCAGGTGGTGTCGGGCCTGCAAAAGGATGGGTGAAAACCCGCCTCAGTTGGCTGGACCACTGATGGACGTCTTCGTCCAGCACTGCACCTGCCCCTGCCTCCCTGGGATCATTATCTGCAGCTGGAGTGGCGTTGGTCTTCTTTTTTCTTTGCCGTTTTGCTGGACGGGCCTGCTGTTCTTTGACCTGGTCATCATCATCTTCATCTTCCTCGTCTGCCTGGGCCTCCTCTTCTTCTCCCTCAGACCAGAACCCTTCAATGAATAGGTCGCTTTCCTCATCTTCATCAAGGGATTGACCTGGAAGGTACTCCTCGTCTTCGTCCTCTGATGAGCTGGTCTCTGCCAAAGCCCGATACTTGGGTCTCGCATCTCTCTGGATGGCCATGTAGTGACTTCGTTCAGTGTGTGACATGGGCCTGGAGGGACCTGCTTGGTCTGGCGCCATAGCCTCGTCATCAATGTGTCGACTCTTCTCCTTTTTCTTTCCTCTCTTCTCCTTCGCTGGCTCTTGGGGGACACAGGAGGGGCCTGGTGGATGGGATATCTTGTCTTCATTTCTCTTCTTGTCCTTCTTTGTCTTTTTCTTCCGAGCAGGCTCCGTCCTCAACTGTTCCTCCGCCCTCAACTGTTCCTCAGACTCCTCACTTGTCTTGTCTCTCTTTTTCTCCTTCCTTGATTTCTTCCGAGTCGGCTCCTGGCTTGTTTCTTGACTGGCCTCCTGGCTTGACTTCGTTCTTTTCTTGTGTTTCTTCGACTTCTTCTTCGTCTTCTCACCACCTTCCATTTCTCTTTCCTCCCGAGCCATAGCACTACGCAGGTTGTCTTGCCTAGTACCCCCACCAGCCAGCAATGCACTTGTGAAAGTTGCCCCCTCAGACTGGGACAGACTTGTCTGTAGCTCTCTCACCTCACGGGCCGTCATATTTACTCAATGGGGGAAACATGCAAGAACTACCAACTGGCTGATGTTGTGTGTGTGCGATAATTTCAAAATTTCCACTCCTTATATACCTTTCCAGGGTATGATAATTTACATAGTTATGGTTGAAACTGCTCTTATTGGTTTATTGTCTAATTACCTTGATAATGAAATATCATATATGTTTCTATAATCATTGGTCCCTTTGACTGCCTTATGTAATGATGAAAATTTAAATACCATGTGATAAAACTCAACTTTTTAATTGGATCAATTTCCCGCCATATGTAAATGATACAGTTAAGCCTATTGTACCGGTACATGTACATGTTACCATACATCAACACCATAAATTTATTTTTCATCAGTTTGGCATTACATTTTGTTACCTACCTACCTGGAACATAAATGCTGAAGTCCAACACTGATCATGCTCACCTTTGTCTGTCATCAACCCCATTACCGTCCCAAAGTGCTGGAGACTTTTGGCCTTAACAGCCTTACCCACCCCAGTACACCCTCCCATAGCATACTTACCTATTCCCCCCCCCCCCCCCCCAAGAAAACTCAGTGCTAAAAAGTACTATGATGATAGATGGGTTGAAGGACACAGTACTACAACATACTAAACACACTTAGTAAATGGTAGTATCCAGTAACTTGTCAGTGTACACACAAGTAGTATTTAGTAGTAGCCAGCAAGATGCCCCTATGGTGCAATGTACTGACATCAAAGGCAAAGAGACTCAGTACTACAGAATACTAAGTAGTATTTTTTAGTATGTGGTACTTTACCCCAAATTAAGATTTAGGCGGTTAGGGTTAATAATCTGATTATCCTGTAATATGTGATTTCCTTCTCTTCTCATTAAAAAAATCAGTTTCCCATAATCATACTAATCCATATATGTGACTTATCATTGTAATAATTGAAGTACCTGGTTGAACGACTGCTTACAGGAATTCTAAGGATTGAATAACCACGGTGATTTATAGATGGAATATCACCATCAACACTTCTAATGATACAAGCTTCCTCATCGTTATCAATTAGTCATCACACACTTGCGCGTGACATTATCCAGCTTGCGCAAAGTTTATTCGATACCCAATAATTGGGCAATGTGTCCAAATCTGACAAAGTCAAAGCTGTGGCGACAGGCTGTGTGGTGCTGTCAAAGGACTTTTTCGAGCAGTGAACCCAGGCTTTGGGCAGTGAACCAAGAATTGTTGAACGCTAATTCTTAAAAGAATCAGAAGATGTCAAACTCTTCACAAAGAAACTCAAAACACATTTTTGTTTATATCCACCTGTCCCATCAATTAGCCAGTTACTGTGGCAGAACCTTTTCAAGCAGTGAACCAAGGCTCTAGAAATGTTGAATGCCAATTCTTAGAGAAACAAAAGATGTTCACAAAGAAACTCAAAACACATTCTTGTTTATATCCGCCTTTCACATCAACCATTGTTTTTCAACAAAATTACATGTAAAGATATTGAGGACAATAATAAATGGCAGTACATAGATCTAGATAAAAAAATACCTGAACTGGAAGACCTGTCAAATAAACATTCTTGAATTACTTCAGAATAAGACCAAACGAAAACAAAAAATGAAGGAGAAAGATGGCCTCCTGCAAGGCAGCGACACAATTCAAGTGGCAGAGTCTCTAATTTCATTTCTCCGGCGACCAATTTATGTTTTTGCTCCTCTGAAATATTGGCACAAATATCTTAAATATGCACTCGTCTCTCCCCCTCTCCCCCCCCCCCCCCTCCATTAGCAATCATATAATTGCATAGTGGGGCGCATCGCGCCTCTGCGCAGGCGACAATTGCTGGATTTTGTTCTTTACACGGGTGAGGTCCAGAGCGTATGTTTTATTGCCAATTAGCGTGGAGGCATGCTTGGTTGTTTTTTTTATCATGCGAGACGTGCAGGTAGCCTGTGGTCGTGAAGGGCACGTCCATTCCCGTAGGCGAAACCTTTTTAATTGGGTAATAAAGTATGTGCGTTAATGGGAGTGGAGTGAAGAGAAATTACACAGCCTAATTACCCTGGTAGTTCAGATGAAGGTGTGGTCTAGAAATTTATATGATAACTACTCCATCGTCTGGAACTCAAATGTTTGATGAAGTTGCAAAACGTTAGTTCTCTTGTCCTGCGTCATGGACTGAAGATTTTGTAAAATTTGTAAAATACACGTATCTCTTTGCAATAAATTGGATAGCTGTGTTCAAATACAGTAATGTGTGTTTCAATATACATGTATTTGTGATTAACGGCTTTATTATTTTAGTTTTTGACAAGTATTTTATGATTTAAGGTACGCATACATGTACCACATCCAATTACCAGCTTACTATAACAAAATTGTTTTGTTTAAAAACCAGCACCACGATATGGGTAAATGGAATTTTATTTTTTATAGAAATGAAGCAAGTGCTTTCAGAATAAACCCAAATAACAGTTTTCTACATTTAAATGTTATTATCTCGCCCTCGTGGCGACGGCTCTTACTTTCATAATTTGTACGTAAAACTTAAAGCATGCATTGTTGACGTCCCCCCCCCCTTTGATCACACGCAACGCTACCAAAAACAGAATGCCCGAAATATTACCGACAACAAATTTATTGTAATTGGTGAATCATTACCGATTTAGTTTATTTATAAAAAAAAAAAGAATTTTGATGTATGATCCATCGGTTTATTTTCGCAACCCCGGGTGACAATTGCAATTTAGTACAGACGCACGAAGCAATAAACTGTGGCAATCAACGGTACGCGCTCGTCGAATGTTAGCACCGCAGACTGAAATGTGAAGTCCAATCGCCGTTTTGTTATTTGCACATATAGTACGAGTGACGGGGGCACGGCGATGATCACTGTAAATATTTTTGAAAAGAAAGCCAGCGGGGTGCTACGGAACACCGGGAGCTCGCAAAGATAAACACCGACCAGTGGGGGCCGGGCGGTAATGCGAGTACGCCACGAACCGTCGCCAAGAAATGCCATCAATCAAACGGTGGATAACTCTTAATTACGAAACTGAAGTGAATGTTCCATGGGCTATACATGTATATGTAGTCCTTGGCTTGGCTATATTGGCATGATATTAGTTAGTTAAGTTAAAGAAACATAACCTAACTAACGGCAAAAGTCGCGTAATATGTACCTTTCAGGAAAGTACAGACACCTCATTGATGTGGTCAGTAGCATTTTGGTATTAGATTCTACTGCTGGAATTGAGCCAACACGACAACCCTAGTATTTTTTTACTGTCAACTTTGTATTTTTGTACCGGTATAGTGTTACACCAGTTAGTGGTTTAAGATCAGAAAGCTATATTAAATTACTAGAGCGTTAACTCCTCCTTCGCAGCGCGGAGATACTTTGAAGCCGTCCTGGGCACAGACATTTTGAATTCATGTGCGTGTTTGTAGAACATAATGAAATTAAATGGAATGATTTTGAAAGTGTATACTCTTAATGCAACGCGCAAGTACAACATACGCAAACAACTTAAGCACGTCATGACGGTTAAAGAACGTCATCAGCAGTGGATACACGCACGTGTTTGCGTTGTTTGCACAAAGCAAAATGAAACACCGTTTTCTGATTGCACATTTTGGTTTTTGGCCGCATCGGCTTCAATAACACACCTGTATAGAATACAAACGCAGATTTGTTAACAGCTGTACAAAACTGAGTTTTCCATAGGTTTGTGCACAAACATGGATGCACCTAGCAGGCATCACTTTGTACATAGAGTCAGCACTCTAGTAATTTAATAATATAGCTCTATGTTTTAGATACAACTTTAAAGGTATAGTCCATCATTTGTAATTTGTGCATTTTGTTCGTTTGAAGCTACAAAAGTGCTCAATATCCAAAGAAGGATGCTGAACAAACAATCTGATGAAGTTTCAGCTTAGCTTCAGCTGCATTTTTTTTAGAAAAACAACATTCTAGGATCTCAAATCAAAAGTTGCTGAATCATGTATTGAACTGGGCTTGAATTCAGCGTCCGAGACACGTTCTCACTGAGCCGATTGCAGCTACGCGATGCCACGCACTGATCCGACGAATTATAGCAACCGCGCACGCGTGTGCGTTGTCCCAATGCTTGCACGTGCTTTGCCAAATAACAAAACGAACTACTAATTTGAATTTCCTACGGTGCTTCTTAAGAAGCACCATTGGAAAGGCCTTTTTTTGTTGATTTCTTCAAAATGACAGCTTGCCAGAAAGAATAATTTCACAAGGAGTTTAGTCCCCTTACTATCTTTCAACCAAGTATGTTTTTCAACGATAATTACGCCAGTTACTTTTTGGATAGCTGCAAATGATGGACTCTGGCTTTAAGTCCCAATTGTTGGGGTGTGAAAAGTGAACATACGGCGACAGCACGTGTAGTTTTGGTTCACAGAGGCCCAAATAAACGAACAAATTCAAGTTTCATGTTTGATAGTAAATAATGACCCTTAATTGAGTAACAGGCATCCAGAGATTGAAGGGCCTTGTAAAAACAACAAAACAGTGCCAAATAGGTAATTTTTTCAAGAGCTGCAAGACAATGTCCTCGCTCACTACAAATCCAGCACTTCTCCTCTGAGTGTTTTCGTGATAGGTCCTTCGACCAATCTAATCTTGGCTGATCTTGAAGGCTACCGTAGGTTATCTGTCAAGTAATCCCAATCATACCTACAGGTGTGCTATAAATGCTACGTGTACCTAAAGACAATCCTTTGCAAGACTGGCAAGTCTGCTGCAAACAGATCTTTAAAGAAAAAATTGACGATTTCACGATACCATCTTGTGGATATGAAGATGCGATTCCCTAAATTTCTTTTTATGATTGTGATTGAATGATTGCCTCCATACATAAAGAGCGACGTCTTGCGAAAACATCCATTAACTCTAGACCTGGCCCAAAACAATAGTCACGAGAAATTTTCAGACGTGCTTGCTGACGAGCCAGCTCGTAGTAACCCGGCCTACATTAATTTATCAATCGCAGCACCTAAAGAACAAATTAAAACAACATCCATGCATGCACAACGCGTCATGATTACGGTAATAACTCTAATGTTCAGTTAAAAAACAATGGTGTACGGTTTCCCCAGCCTAGTCATTACAGCGTTTGTTACGATGGCGCGCAAAGCCTGTTTTATTAAAGGTATCAAGTTTCAAGCCCGGGTTGGCATTTGATGAAAAAAATGCAGAGGTACGGTGATATTAAAAACAGCTCGGGGCGTAGACGGAATGAAGGGGAGACGTGAACATGAGGAGGGGACGTTTGACTGGAAAATTGAAAAATCTGGCGTTGAAAATTACTTGGGTATGAAACGGCGATGGGTGGATGTCTGCCGGCATGTACTTAAATGCGTGGCTGACGCGTAATTGAACACGTATGCACGCATTCAGGGTTAGAGTGTGTGAGACGTGCGTCAAAACTTTCACGTCCCACAGAATGACAAAGACATTCCCATCAATGTAATAACTTTGTTATCACTTTTTTACATTTTTATTACTTTTTTGGACAGATAGAATCAGTACTGACAAAATATGCATGGGTGAAGGGACGAGAGTAACAAATATGACCTGAATTGTTACAGCATATTCTGAGGATCGGTTTAGTCATTCATGTGCTTCATGAAAATTCAGTGCAAAATGAACATTTTTATCTGTGAAAATCACTACAGATGTGTACGTAAACTTCAATTGTTGAAGTTACGAATTTTGCTTCACTTTTGTCTTTGCATGAAAAATATGCTACAACCTTAGCTTCTTACACTGAAAATAACAAATTTCCCCTTTCTTTCAGGTCAGAAAGAAAGACTCAATTTCTGAGACACAACCTCTGTAAACATATTTAATCATCTTTTCTATCTGCACTCTCTAAAAGAAGTACCCGAGGACACTCTTCACAGAACATCAACATAAAAAAGGATTAACAGAAATATTTCCCTCATGAGAATGATCATCCCATGTACAGAGTACAGCTTCAGAATAGATTTTCACAATTACTTGTCTGTAAGACGTAATAATGGAGGCCTAAAGATATTGTTTATCAGGCAGGCTACACTTAAAGTAATCAAGACATCAACGTTAACCGCAATATAACCTCTTTCTCTGCAAGATCACCAACCTAGAAAAAAAAGTGTTCGTGGTCTAATCCAAAAACGGGTTTGATGTGATTTGAAGGTAGATGCCTCAGGAGGAATTCGGTTAGGACATTTTGTCCAGAAAGAGTTCGGGAATGAGACAGGCAATAATCAGATCTTCTCAACTGGGATGAGGGCTCCCCAGCGAGTCCTTTTTCCACAGCGCGACAAGGTTATTGCGGGATAACGCAAATATTGTGGTAGCTTGGTTCTCCAATGACACCGGAGGGGAAAAAATTAAGGAACGCGCTGGATTGAATTTCAGGACAAATTCGATTAGGTTTGCAAATTCCGAAATGCAGAATTCACGTTGTATGTTTGCTTTTCTTTCCTGGAAAGACCGTGTACCGCTGTCTTAAACTGTTCAAAATGATTTTCGTCAAAAACTCAACCCAGAAATCTAAAATAAGCAAATGCCATGGGGAAAATCAATCTGTAAAGAGTCATTCATTAGATCATGGTGCTTCATCAGGGCCACACTTCAGACTGCAATACAAACTTCACCGCTAAAACACTCCGAAACTGTGTGAGTCATCGCTGAACGTCACACCACTACACTGACAACTAGATACTACTGGGCATCATACCTGTCTGTTTTTCAGAATTTGACACGCAGGCACTGCGCATGAATATGCATCAATTCAACATGACACTGGCAGAATATCACTTGACTTGCATGTCAAACACCAGCTTTTCTGTTGAGTGGCATTAAAGACTGAATTGGAACAAACTTCCTGAAACAACTGACAATCTCAAGTGGCTTTTACGGTCTTGCCTGGGGCAATTTTCCTTAAAAAATAAAAAATAAAACAAATCTAACTACAAAAATCTATCGAAGAAATACATGTAAACACCAAAGATACCGTACCAAGAGAACTTCAAAACAGCACCTGAAGGAATCAAATACATAGTTTAAAATGCAACAAAGTTAATCCGTTTTCTTGAATCTGTTTTTCTTCTTGTTTCGAACAAGAACAGGAGTAAACTCTTTACGTTTCTCCAACTTTCTCCATGTAGTTCTCTCAGGTTGAACGCAGAGTTTTTATGCAGTGCACGGGTGTTCTTAATTTTTTTCAGTGCAATTTATTTGGGGTGTGTGTATCTGTATATTGCTTGTTTTTTCTGGCTGGTCCGTGATTAATTTTTTTTAAATATATATTTTAAGTGTTTTTATGTACCCCGCATTTAACTGTTTACTATTTTTAGTGTTTTCTACAATTGTAATTTTTAAATGAATTGTACTGTATAATTGCTGGGCACCTCTGGAAAACAGTGTACCGGTACCACTGAGAGGTTTCCCCAGGGTAAATAAGAAATAAATAAACTTAATACAACCCTTAATCTCAATTTAAAGGGAATATACATCATTTGCTTTTGCTGTAATTTTCAGAAATGGATGGAATTGGGGGGTTGGAAATATAAAGCAAATATAGTTACACTGACTTTTTGGAGGTTTTTGGTTCGAAAATGCTATAAAAACCAAGAAAAACGATCATTTTCCTGTAGTCTGGTTCCCTGACTCCATATAAGAAGAATTAGAGCAGTTTACATACATTCGGGAATTGTAAGGTCAGGGAACCAGTCTAGCTGGCTCGTACCCGTTCATAGGTTTGTAATCGATTGCAAACAAGTGCAATGGTCCATTGGGGCCAGTATTTGAAAAAAAAGCCAGTTGTTTCCAACGCTGATCGGCCGATCAGCGTTGGAAATTGATACAAAAATACCACTTTTCTTGAAAATGACAGTATACCAGGTGCCATAATTTTACAGGATGCTTTAGACTGTCATTTACCAACATCCTATTATGGTATTTCGCAAAAACTTGGTAGTTTTATTTTTCGATGTTTGCAAATGTTGTATATTCCCTTTAAGAGTACATAAACATGTCCTCAACTAGCATAAAAAGCTGTACAATCTTACGAAGAACATTGGCATTTGAAGTCTATACTACTACGTGTATGCGTAGTTCCCAGTAAAGCACAACCATTATGCTGCTCGAGTGTACTCCTCTTCAAGTAAACAAAATCAAGTAGTTTAGAGAACCGGACAACATGTGCGCGAAGCAAGTCATCCGTAGTTTAAGAAAGGCCTAGTGCTCACCAAGGTGTTAACTGATTTGGTTCTGTGGAGAATTCATGGAACTCTGGAAAAACGTTTTGTCTTGACGTTAAATCAATGCCCATCTTCACGCATGCTGATTGGACCGACCGAAAGGGCATTCGTGTGCGTGTTGCAAAACCAAGTTATCGGATGATTATGTTTTCAAAACTGATGTTTTCAAAGAAATACAGTGTTAAGTGTCTGGTGTACGTTTACATGCAGGGCTTGCAACAACAATTGCATCTTTTTTGTACAGAGAATAAACTTAGTTTAACCAGAATGGATAGTATAAAATGAAAAGCACAGCAGTACTCAGAATGTAATAACACTTTCTTATACACGTAACAGCAGATAGGCCTACTGTCTTTACAAAAGCTGCCGAGACTATGTTCCTTCATGCAAAAATGAAGATGTTGCGCCAACATCCACAAATAGATGTTGATTAATTTCCTAAAATCAAGAAAGAGTGAATAAAAATAAAAAGCAGTACTCACGATATCATCAGTGGTGACGCCCAGCATGCTCGCCCACATGTCAGCTCGTAAGCCTCCCGGGCAGCCAGTCTTGGCATACTGCTGGGCCAGTGCCGAGTGGTTGGCCTGTAGGATCCTCCGACCCAAACGCATCCTCTCCGCGTCAAAGAGTTCTGTAAAGTAGGCATCACAAGACAGTCAAGGAATAATTAATGCATTCAGACTTGCAAGTTTTTACCAATGCACTAAAACTGTTTTTGCCAGGAGCAGGATAACGATTCCCGCATAATCATGGAAGTACCAACAATATTGAAAACAATTCCATTGTACAAAATGGCTCACTTGGGTGGGGACAACACACGAAGAAATATGTTTTACAAATCCAAATTTTTCGGCCTGTCACAATGTTGTTTATTATTCATTAAATATATCATTTTGAAGGGTTTGAGATTATGACGCCTAAAACTTTCACCTGTGCAACGTTTGCTCCCTGCCATAACAAAATAAAAAGTATTTTTGTTCAAAGTTTGAAGTGTAAGTTCTGGGGGGGAGGGAGGGAGGGTAGGACAAGAAGCTACACGCTCGGAGGGGTCACTGAAATTTTATGCAGCAGCCATCTTAGAGGCTTGTTTTGTTACAGGGCTTAAGTTCAGTAACAACAAATGAACACAAGGTCTATTTATGCCTCTCCCTGTGCGTAATGCCCACAGAAACACAGTTAGTATAACATCCACAGAAACACCCTGTATCCTACAGCGGGATGGGTTTGTTGTCATCGGCGAAACTACTCCCATAATCCCTGACTGAATCCTGTCTGACAACCGTAAAATCCCCCCAGACTTGGGACTCTGTCATCCCTGTAATCAGTCGTAGTCGCACGTAGTGAGTGATAACAAGGCAAACATCTTGCAAACACATGTGTACTTTCCTGAGCCTAATTCAGTTGCTTGTAAAAAGATACAGGTGGTAAATATTTGATGATGAATCTTTTTTTTTTTCGATCTAATCGTGCTTATTCCATTTACAGGACCTACGATTGCAGCTATGTTAAAGGTACTATGTTTGCTTTTGTTGTAATTTTCAGAAATGGATGGATTTGGGGGTTAGTATTTCATAGCAAATATTGTTACATTGACCTGTTTAAAGTTTTGTGTTCATAGATGCTGGAAAACCAAGGGGAAAAAAGTTGTTCTTGAGGTCTGGTTCCCTGACCCTACTTCGAACGAAATAGAGCAATTTACAGATGTCGGGAATTGTAAGGTCAGGGAACCACACTAGTTGGCTTGCACCTATTCACAGATGTGTAACTGATTGCAAACAAAATGTGGACCAACTTACTTTAGGAAATTGGGGCAGAATTTGAAAAAAAAAGTCAACGATGGTCGGCCAACCATTTTTGGATATTGATACAAAAACTCCACTTTTCTTGAAAATGACAGCACACCCGGTGCAATATTTTCACAGAATGCCTGAGACTATTATTCACTTACAGTCAAGTAAGGTATTTCATAATAATTTGGTAGTTTTGTTTTTTGATGTTTGCAAATGTTGCATATTACCTTTAAACAATGAAAACCTAAGAGATATATTGGCTATGCGATAAGCGTAGCGGCAGAACTCGATATCAACCCCAAATACAAAAAAAAAAAAGTAAGTTGATGTAAGTCAGATTTAAATAGCCACTAACCAATTTCTTTGTTGATAGTGCACATTAGGGTATTAAAAAGGGGACCAAGTTCAAAACCAACCAGAGTTATTTGATTAGTCAAAGTCTAACATTGACATTTGTGTAATTCTTCTGTAACATGAAATTGGTTCTCCCTCATTCAAAAGTTGAAGTAACTGCTTAAAATCCTAGCTACACTTCATCTCTGTAGCAATTTGTGCAGTCAAATAGAAGTTCCATAGGAATGGGTCCTTCATTAGTATCTCTTATTATCGGAGTGCAACCTTCTCACTGCATTGCTTCCACAATGTTTATTTCTTAACATAAACACGATCACCACCGAGTACATGAATCATCCATGCAAGGCTTGTCTGAAGTTGTCTCATTATGAAACCGACGAATGCAGCATCCATTTGGATCCTAGCTATCAGAGGAATTCTAAACTGGCATTTTGCTCTCTATGTCAACCATTCGCTAGTGCTTCGGATGTCGTAATGGCCAAATCTGTTTGCTCGAATCTCCAGCTGTTGTTTTCGTTTACAGAATTAGAAAGCATTGTGTTTGCGGTCCCCCTTAGTCTGGGGACCGACTGGAGAGTTTGGCAAGCCATTCAAATGGAGGAGATCAAATTTACGAGCTGGATGAATCGAAGGAGCTTCCTCCGTGTTGCCAATTTACTCCGGCGGAATCAAGCGGGAAGGAAACGACTCTTATGTTTGAATAACCATTGCTGCGTCTTGCCGTCCCATAGGTGGAACCAATTCAATTTGCTTGGAGGGAAAATAAAAATACATCAAAGTTGAGTGGAGGGAGAGAAGTGCATGTATCTTTATGAGGTACTTCCTGCCCCGACAAACTTTTGTTGACCTGGCCCTTCCCGAAAACCCTTTCCCCCTCTTAGCTTTACTCTCAGACCTATCCAAACTATTTGTTTTCAACGTTTGCAAGCACAACACACACCGTTGAACTAAGAAAATACCAGTAGGTCAAAGGCTCTTCAGTGCCACTTAAACTTTCTGGTCGTGTGCCTCTGTTTGAATACATCTCCTTTGAGCAAATATTGATCTTGATACTGTTACACGACGCTTAGCGGGATATTCATTGGTTCGTCCAGCTTTCAGTGCCACAAACAACTCCAGCCAAAAAAAATGAAAGCAGCAATCCAGACTGGATTTTTATTCATGGCAGAGGAAATTCAACATGGCAGCTTCAGATAAAGTCGGGATGGGAAGATTGGGGAAGTTAGAAAGATGTTGGATTTACTGTGAGAGTGCACAGATAATTGGGGGAAAATACAACAAGGAAAACAAAGTCTGTAACTGGAAGGCCAACAAAGTAAGACTCGATAACCTAGTTGGTATATCACTGGTATGATCATTATCTACAATCAACCAAAAAAGAAAGTCCTCCCCCCCCCCCCCTTCCAATACTTTTTTGTCTTACTCACCAACTACTGAGCACCCCTCGCTCAAATAACGACTGATCAGTACAGAAATTCCTTAGCAATCCAGCCATACTCTTTATTTGGCTTAAAGCAGTGCTAATGTGTACGAGTTTATGCAATTTATGACAAATGATACCGAAAACAGTTGCACTTTTGTATACGTGCAGGTTGTGGTTCACACTCACCTTGCGCGCATACAAAAGTGCAACTTTTTCTTCGGTATCATTTGTCATAAATTGCATAATCTTGTACACATTATCACTGTTTTGGGCCAAACAAAGAATATGGCTGGATTGCAAAGGAATTTCTGTACTGATCAGTCGTAATTTGAGCAAGATGTGCCGAGAAATTTTAAGTTAGGCAAAAAAGTATTAAGGGGGGACTTTCTTTTTTGGGTGAGTGTAGTAGCATGTTCGAATCAAACTTAAATCAATTATCTCGATTCAATTTTATTATTAAGTTATACATGTAGCAGCAAACCAGTTTGTCACCCCTTTTTGTGGTTTCTTTTTTAGTTTTGTCTTCTTTTTTTCTTTAAATTTTTTGATGGGAATATAATTCTTGGAGGTTTATACAATGACAAAATCAAAATGAAAATGTTTAATGCTGATTCCAAAATTTACCAGTTTAATTTGTAAACACTGTATGCTCAGTGTTTTTCCGAGAGCCCACAGGAAAAATAAATAACCAAGATTGGACAATATGTTTATTTGATTGAGGGATCAATTCATACTGTTAATTCCTGGAACAAAGGAATGTTTTGTTCCGAAGGAACACTACAAATAGATCGGCTATGTCCCAAACTTGGATATTTTTTATCTTCGTCATTCTGTTCTTTGTCATTTTGTGCTGATCTCTGCAAATTATTTACGAACATGACTATTTTGTTAGAGTGGTTTCATCAGTCAACCCAGCAAAGTAAACATGGTTCCTAGGGAAGCTTAAGCATGCAATTGTCATACAACGTAGAAAAAATAAGATATAAATTCATTACTTTTATAATGCTGAATGTCCGTAACGAAAAGCACTAGGGAATTTTTTGAATCATGCACAGAATTACAAGCAGTGTTTGCTTTATAAGAAAAACAACATTTCACTTACGGAAATACAAACAACGAACCAGTGTTTGTATAAAACCATAAAAGCAGTCATTTATCATTTGGAGTCTACTAAGTGCATGTTATTAAAGTAGTATTAACATAAACCCATGCGTAGAACTTTTCCACCGTTGAAAAATTAATCAGTTGCCCGTCGAAAATTCAGCTTTCTCCACAACGGGAAAATGTGACTACTAGTAATGACAAAATTATGAGAATACAGAAAATTAATTTCATGTGGAAACATTCCAGTTATATTTAAGAAGTTAGATTGCAAAAAATACAACGCGATGAACATTATGTACAGTGTATTTACTTGAAAGATTTTGTAAGGGCCACCTCAGCTTCCCCTCCCCCCCCCCCAAAAAAAAAAATCTATCATGGAACTTTGGTGTGGTCTGACAACAACATTGTGTGGTTCTTGTTTTGGAGAAACCAAGTTCAAAAGCTGATAGTATGTTTTTCTCCAGAAGTGCGTGTTTGGGTAAAAAAAAAAAGAGAAGAAAATTGTGTTTTAAAAATTAGATTATGCTTTGCAGCTGCTGGCTTTTATCTGTCATCATTTTCCTATTAAAAACCGTCAGTCTTACAAGATCCACGTTTTGCACGTAGCTGTGAACGTTATCTCGTCAACTGCCAGAGTGCGACTGACAATTATAGGCGCAAGGAACACAATTGGCTGTGTCTCATGCTTCCGGCTTGCGTTCATTAAATACGCAACTTCTATAGAGGCTCCGTAGGTGCTTGTCACCTCGGTGCATTTACGTCATCACACAAAGGGACTGTGCGCAGATAGTGGCAGTAACACTCTTGTTGTCAAACATCTAATGTTACTCTGCAGTCCAAGGCGTGTTTTCTCTGATAACAACAAATACGCGCAAATCCCTTGTGCTAACAGCAGACTTTCGGCATATCAGCGACGGTGCAGAAAGATCATGTAAATGCCACTTTTATATTTGTGTGTGCATTCTCAGGGAGCTTTTAAAGCTTCTGATGATTTCTGTTCAATAATGTGACATCTAGACCTGTAGTCAGTTGAATGGCACTTATTCTGTCAAGAAGTAGAAAGGAAATTTTGGAAGAAAACTTAAGTATGCTTCGGCTCCGACTGTTGCTATTGAGAAAGTTTCCTTTTCTTTGACTGAAACTTAAACCACCTTCACTCTTCATTTTAATGTTTGACACAACTGAATTAACACCAGACAGGAGTGGAAATGTTCCGGAAATTCGCTCACACAAGTTTAATAAAATGTAGCAAATTAGACCAGCTCGGCTGGAGGTACGAGCACGTCTGGCAACACTGACCTGGACATTTTCATAACTCTGTCGTGATTTGTGTTCCAAACAACCCCTTTGATCCCTAGCAGCACTTGAAAAGACGTGTCCGAGCCACAAGGGCCCTTGGGAGAGTTTTTACAATATTTACTCCCGGCAAATATTGCCAAGTCCTTAGGTGAACGGGGATATTCGTGTTTCTCTCAACGTGTCCTTATTAAAAACAAAAGAAGAACTAATATTGGGGAGGGGAGGGGTAAAGTGGTCATACATGTAGAATGTCGACAGGATGTTTAAATTTTGATGATTTTTTTTTATCAGAGGAGGGATGGGGTGATTTTGATTGGTACCCACCTGCTGAAGTATCTGCATGGTCATCTACTCCAGTCTGTGGGGTACCGGCTGAAAATTCCTTGTAATGCTCTCTCTGAGGACATAGAAATACAAATTAAAAATTAACCAATGCTGTCTTCAAATTGTTTCCTCTATACTGATGAGTTACTAAAGGATGTCACTTCCGTCACTATGCATTCTTTTTGGGCTTCCAACAATATCATTGTAATCATGAACTTCCCCAAAAAAAACTGAAGCATAAACAGTGAAACTTACTACTTCCTGAATGTTCTGGAATTACATAAGAACAGGATTCTTAATCTTAATTTCAATTAAATCATTACTTATCATGTGCCACTTTTTTTGTTTCGTCTCAATTAAAAACCCTTGCATCAACTTATGTAATGCTAAAATTAAGCAATTCAATCATTAAAAATGTTTGTTTGTGTGGAGACACATCCAGTTTAACTTTTGGAATTGATCGAGTTAGGACTCTTAGTTTGTCAGGACAAGTGAAGTTCACTATCTCTCGGGGTCACTGGAGATCATGTGTTAAACACAGTGTTGTAATCGAGACCTCCATGACAAGAGTCAACTTAATAACTGACAAGCTACTGAAATAAACTGTGACAAGAGCATTCTTTTGTCATTGGCTGTCCCTTCTTGCCTGTGGCCCAATTTGTGATTTGACTTGTGATTGGCTTGTGATTAGCTTGTGATTGACTTGTGATTGACATACAATTTACTTGCGATTGGCTCATGATTGGCTTGTAATTGACATGTGATTGACTTGTGATTGACTTGTGATTGGCTTGTGATTGACTTGTGATTGACACGCAATTTACTTGCGATGGGCTCATAATTGGCTTGTGATTGACCTGTGATTGGCTTGTGATTGACATGCCATTGATTTGTGATTGGCTTGTGATTGACATGCGATTGACAATGTGACTGACTTGTGATTAGCTTATGATTGGCTTGTGATTGACATGCAATTGACTTGTGATTGGCTTATGATTGGCCTGTGATTGGCTTATGATTGGCTGGTAATTGACATGTGATTGGCTTGTGATTACCACTCAAACCACCTCAAACACCGATGGGCATTTGTCCCAGCTGACAAGTTTGCATGTGAACTTAAACTTATAATGCAACCTAAGCTTGACGCCTATAGCCAGCCTACTTCCCTTGCTTTGTCACACAACGTAATATACATTTGTGGGGAGTTTGATTTTTAGTTATCTCTAAATTTAGGAAGTCTTCAAGTCGCACTTTTACTACAGAGGTGGTCTTAATTAATATTTTTTTTTATTGTTTATTTTTTTTAGCGTTTTTGGATAACGAAGTGAACAGTTCTTTTTTTTTATTATAAAATATTGGATTATTTTTTAAATAATAAATAATCCAATATTTTATCTTCTACAATCCATTGTCTGAATGAACAAAAGTAGCCCCCGAAATCAATCCTCTCTGCTGAATGAAATGTCTTCAGTCTCTTGAAATACTGGATTGGCAGCTGGTTCATCACTGTTTTTATACAGTAGCAGTAGCCTTTAGATGATTCCTGTTTATTCCTGAACATGTTATTACCAAATGTCCAGCCCAAGTCCCACCCACACAAATATACAACCACCATCAAACATTAACAATATGTCTTCTACGCTAATCCACTTAAAAGGTTTGTTCATAAACACGTGTATCCAAACAGATATCGTCAAGCACTACTAGCAAAGCCAGTGTTTGATGGGCTTCATGGCTAATGGCACGCTTTCTGACAAACAAGTTGTCTAATTCATGATATTGCCATCTACTCATGTCTTTTGGTGATTTAATCGGAATCTAGCTGAATAATTGACAAGGAGATATGTTCATATGTGCCGAAAAGGTTGGCACGTTTCCAAGAAGATCAATCAATTGTACCAACTGCCGAGATTGATATCTCAAATCTCTTGCTTTGCAGGCCAAGAATTATATCTTCCCGAGAGGCAGTTTCAACCGCAAGGAGGGACTTTGGATTTGTAAGTATAACACACATTTCACTATTCTATAGACTTACTATCTTTATTTCTAATAAAGTATCATACATTGTGCAAGTGTGTTGTGTAAAAAAAAGCTTGGTCCACTAAAAAGTTCTTTTTATATTATTACCCTTGACTGGTAAGTTTAAAGTGATTCTTACAGCCACTTCAATAGTTTTGGCACAAATTTGGCTGGACTGTAGCTGCAGATATACAACATCTAAGGTCATTATCCCTGGTGAATATTTATGAGCCAAAAGGCCTTATTTTTGGTCAAAGTTCAACTTGATCAGAGAGATTTAAAAGACAAAAACTTTCTGCCTCGCACAGTTCAGCTTTGTGGCAGTATTAAAAGAAACATGGGTAGAAAAACACATTTTCTTCTATTTTCTGGTGAAAAAGCTCTTTTGTGATGGCGTGAATGCCGAGTGAAGAAACCCATTCCCTTCTTGTACAGAAACTGACTCTAAGACTGAGGATGTTTTCATTCTTTCTTAAGAACATAATTACATGAACAAAACCCGTAACCCCAGCGTAAATTGCACAGCATGAATTCTAATTATTAGGACAATCATGTGTTTTTTTCCGCTATTACTCTAGGGGCTCTGTTTCTAGACAGATCAAGAATCAAATTAGAGGTACTAATCTTCACAAACCACTGTTAATTGGATTTGCAGATGGATTTGAAGAACAGTTTCTTTGTGAGAAAGGACAATTTATGGATACAAACGTGAGAGCGGTTTCGTGTTAGTTTACAAATTTCAAAGGAAGGGGGGATATAACACGGCCTCCACGAATGTGTGTCTCTATTACACCATGCTATCTCTCAATACAGGGAGCACTTTCCTTCATTTTTTGTCGCCAATTATATTTGTCTTTCAGTCATTGCTGAATTTTCTTTGTGGAAAGTTTCATTGTTGCCCCCCCCCCCCCCAAAAAAAACAGTTCAGAAAAGTTTGAGCAATTTCTTGAAGTGTCAAACTACTTTTGACGTTATACTTTTTAACCTAGAGAATACATTTAGCAAAATTCAATATGACATTTCACATCAATGATATGTGTTAATGAGAAAATTCCAGAGAGTATAGTGTGCAAAAAAATTATAGATATTTTTATGAGCCATATAAAGCATGGCAAACAAAATATGGCATGCTTATGCCTGGGTTTGAAGCAGAGACTATGCCGAAGTGCGAGTGAGGTTTTATCATACCTGCCTCCCAGCATTCAAACAAACGTTTCAAATAAAACTGCTACAAAATGTTTACTGACTGGAATGACCTAAAACGTACAAAACAAACAAATGTACAGGGCCTGATGTTCTGACACATTACTTTCACTCTTGGTTGTTTCTCCAAGAAATACCTGCAGGCTTGAGAAATGAGAAAAGCTTCAAGGCATCTCTAGGAAAAGAGACACACAAATAGAAACAAGACACATTCTCTGACTTTTCTGGGCATAAACAACCCCCTCGACAAACTGAAGTGGACAGGCATCACATGTCCAATTCAGACTTTCAAGTTGAAAAGGTTTTACAGTTTTCCTTTTCGGATAAAACCAAAATCATGATGGAATTTCACCAGAAAAAAAAACATGTCGTCTTTTGATAGCCATCTGTGAACATGGAGCCCCCTAAAAAAATTTCAAGGGCCAATTTGGAAAGCAAACACGGACTACAGGGAGCACTGATCGCAAACGCCGAGACGTCGCTTAGAGTATGTCGTGCTGCGGATTTGTAAGGCTCTGTTGCTTATCAGTGGGTGAGGGACGTACGTACCAGCTCATCCAATGTGCGGACTCTAAAGGGCAGCTGGACGAGTCCCCAGCTCTGGGAACCGCCCACAAACTGGTTCCCCGTGGCGCAGTTGGGATTCTTCAGTGTGATCAGCATGTCCAGGAAGTCTTTAGGGGCGTACACCGGCCGGAAGGCACTCAGATCTGTTGGCAGAGGAGGGGAAAATTTTACTCTATAAATGTGCGATATGAAAATGCATCCTCTGTGCATGATCCCTGATTGTGATTTCATAAGTTCGACATATTGCTTATGTCATTAAGTAACTGTGGCTAAAGTCTTTCCCAGTGACAGTTTTTGGGTGTTAAAACTATCCAATATTAACAGTTTTGGGTGTGGCACTCAAATAAATGGTTGTCCAACTTAAAACAAAATTTTTTCCAATGTGTGGGTGACAGTAGGTTAAAACAGTGCAGCGTGTAGTACAGGTGTTTTTTAATTGTTTATAAATCTGGAGACTCCATTACATGAAATCGATTGACACAAAACATCTGAGGGAACGTAATTATTTGTATGCAAATTGACAAGTGCAGGGAGACAATTGTTCCATTTTCTAATTGAAATGTTGCAATACAGTGTTTTCCATCTTTTCAAGGATGCCGCCATTAGAAAAGAATAAATCAATCATTCAAATGCTGATTATATATCACAATTGTCTTTCTGGAGAAGTGGCATCTGTTCTTGTTCGTAATGATGTTTCATATTGATATCATATTTAGTGATGCGTGACATAAGAGAAACTTTATGAAACAGTTGAATCATAATTCTAAAATGACGACATTTTTTTTCAGGGACTCAAAATTGTGTGCTAAAGATTTTATTTCTTCCTATGTGTGTGAGTTTGTCTTACAGTCACTATGTGGACTTGTGAACAAAAGATGTCCACATTATGCAGGTTGTGTTGACGTGAAGTGGACTAAGCAATGTCCACATAACATTTTGCCCTCTCTGGAAAACAGGTTTAGAGGCAGTTTTGTGTTAGGTGTATCTGTGGCAAAATGAAGAGAAACACTAAAGAGGATCATAGGAAAAAGTTGGATTGAAAGTGTTTTCACAGTGAGAGTAAAATGATTTTTTTCCGAAACCAAGGGAATGTCCACACTAGGTATGTAACGTAAACGTGTGTGTGTGTGTGTGTGTGTTTTGCATCAAGGACACACATGTGAATCAAAACCAAGTAATTGAGGACAGGAGTCAAATCGAGGATGTCCTCGATTAGAAAATCTGTACAAAACCAATGGGAATTGTTGCAAAAAAGTTAGTCTAAACAAAGATCGATGAAGAGGAACAATAGAAAATCCTTGATTTACACCATAAATAAATGTGTGGGTTTGATCTGATACACTGTGCCCTCTGGAGACGTGCACACAATAGGGAACAAAAGATTGTATACGTCTCCACAGGGCAATTTCTATAGATGAATACGTCTCCACAAGGTTTTCACCAAATAGATTTATGGATTTTACTCAAAAACTAGGAATTTCCAAGGTGGGTTGATCCGTCGCAAATGGAAGCGTTTTAGAAAAGGGATATTAAGTCCGAATTTCAGCCAAGGAAATTAATTCTGGTTAAAATAAGAGCATTTTGAAACTTCACTTTCAAACTCGAAAACTTTACTACACGAGAACAAAGAAATGTCTCCACAGTGATACAAATTTCAGTATGTGTGTGTGTGTGTTAGTTTGTTTCTGCATTCAATTGGGGACGTTGAACAATAGAGGACAATAGGGTCCCCAATCTCTGAGAGGTCCCCAATTTGGATTCGTGTACAAAACATATGGGAGGTCTTCCCAAAAAGTTAAAGTACAAACAAAAGAGGGACAATAGGGGGTCCCTGACTGCAGGCAAATACACACTTGGGTGTGTGGGGGGTTTTTTGGTTAGTTTGTTTTTGCTTTTGTTTTTTGCTCACCAGAAGAGAGCACATTTCAAGATGCTTTCTAAATTGTTCCCAAGATGTTGAGTATTTTGACATAGACATGGATTTTGTTCCAGAGTTTCAACAAATTGACATCGGGGAGTTCATGCAGCAGTGGTTTTCCAAGAGGCAGAAAGTGATTGGAAACTTGCATTAGCTTAAACATGTTCAAATAAACCTGGCGTACAAATTTGACTTGCTGGGACAGTGCACAATTGTCGACGGCTTGCCTAAACAAGCATTCACACCCCCACACAAAGCGAAATCAATTTATAAACTAAACAGATTCCATTCTAGCTGAAATCTGACACCTCACAGATACACATTAAAAAAAAAAAAATCTCCAAAATGACTGTTTTTCTTAATGCAAGATATCCATTTAGCCGTCGCTGGTTAAACACTCTAGACAAACATTGGAAGGGCTACTAATTTCCGTCTTTCTGCGGCGCAGCGTTTGAATTCATTCGCGTCAACACCTCTGTTGCTGATTGTGCGAATGCACGAACCATTCGGAACCCTGGACAAATGCACTTGCCGCTACAGCTGTGTCTGGCATTGGTGCACTCTCGGCTTCACTTCACATTCAGATGGAAATGTAAAAATGTGAACTCTGAAACTCCGTCTTGAGTACATTCAATGCTTGAAATTAACGTCGGTAAAGGGCGAAACTCAATTTGAAATTTGCATCCACGATGCAATACGTCATCGTACAAGTCTCTAACCGCGGTACTTTCTATACCATAAGTCTTCTTTAATCTTGTTTTAATTTTTTGTGCTGGTCCCTGAGGGTCAGTCTAGTGTCCTGACTCTCACTAACCGACTGACTGTCACTTATAAATTAGACTCCTCAGACCAAAATGTCTGTGACTAGCTTTACTAGTCTCACCTCGTCTTGTTTTTTAATGAAGTGCATTTCATGTCATGCAATTCATTCAGATCTGAGAATGCAGTCTAAGTAACAAAATACAAACCGCCAACTACATGCATGAAAAGAATAAAGTTAGGCCGTCATCCAGATGAATCATCCATCAGTGAATGTACTATTCGCAAGAAAATAAGCCATCACAAGGCTGACTGAATCCGTTTGATTAACTTTATTAAAATGAAACGTTATAACCAGCACTAATTCTCAAGACAAAACAAACAGCACAGATCACGAACACTAATACATTGACTGATGCTACACTTTGGATACGGCAATCTCTGTAACATTCACACAGAGTTCTTAACGAGAATCGACGTTTCTGTTAGAAACCTAAATCCTCTGAAATCCTCTTCCACATTTTCTGCGTTTTTGTCTTTCAAGGCCCATTAAGTCCCCCGCGCAGCCAAAGTGATGTTCTCGAGTTCTAGTTTGGAAAATCTGGGTTAAATGCACTTTGCGGCTGGCAGAAAATATAAATTGTTCAATTACATCAGCCTGAAAAAGTAATGAGCAGCGAAAACACTCCACGTGTCGAGTGCTTTGCAAGCCCCCGCAGTTTGTCCGGAAATCTGGTTGTCGAAATCTATTTCAGAAGCGACAGATCCCCGATCACTTTAATCAGCGCTCGCCGAGTGAGCTGGATGTTTCGCGAGTGTAGCATTGATGGGAGAACATGCTGTGACACGGGAAAGAAGAGAACTAGGGATGGGGATATTTTGACAAAGGCAGGACATTTTCAGATTTTTATTAAGATGGTTTTGTTTCTCAGCAGGGAGTCATGACAGGATGTGACTTTGCTTCATGTTGAATGTGTTCTGGGTTTTCTCATGTTTGCTGCTGTGATAATGTTTGGGAGCTGATGGTTATACGAAAATACATTGATATTACGGACTCAAGATTACTCTAACTTGGTTAAACTTAAGTCAAATTCATAACAGAAATGGGCACTAAAAGTTGCTGGCAGCATTTGATGTCCGTATGGTGCATGTTTCTTGTTTAAAAAAATGGTAATTTTTTCACCCAATTTCAATTAATTGCAAATTGAACACTGACAGAGACAGATTGGTTGGGGGCGGGGCATAGTGTAGAAAGTAGGCGGATACTCACCAGGCTCTTCTGCACCGAGTTCGTTCCATCGTCCTCTCAGCTCTTTTTGTTCCGCAAGAGGTCTCTGAAAAAGGTTCAAAATTAAAGTTGTTTTCATTACGTTGCATATTTAGGTTATTGTGCAATTTTTAACAAAGATGCTGATGTTGCTAGCATCGTGACTTTGGGCGTGATCCCTGGCTGCACGGCATATACGGGTTATGGCCTCTGACTAGCACCCCTGAACAAAAACACTGACAAAATTGGGAATCGCCAACATAGGGCTGGATAGCTCAGTTGGTAGAGCACCGGAACGGCAATCCAGAGGTCGCAGGTTCAAACCCCGCTCCAGTCAATTTCTTTGTTAATCTTTTAGAAAATTAATAATGAACATAGCAAGTTGGAATGCGATGACATTAAATGTAAGGTGTAAGCACCTCACCTTTCTGGCTAAGGGAACAGACAGCTCCGTGCACATGCTGTTCAAACTCTTCAGGATACGCTTCTCCCAGGTAGTCTGCAACATAAGCGCATCAAATTTTGCATCAATTTTAAAATCAATCGCACTGGGTCAAGTTTTGGTGTATAATTTCAGCGTACGTACTGCTCTGGTGTTAAACCAACCTGTGCCCTTCTGATGTAAGCTAGGGATTCCTTCGCCTGGTCTGATGGGGTGCTGGGGTGGGGTCTTTTGGGGTAGTTCAGCAGGTGCTTATACACAGCATTGTGGAGCTTACGTTCCCAGCCTGTGCAAAATATTGCAAAAAATGAAAGTAGTAGTGCTAATTCAAACACTAGTAATGTTTATCTTTTATGCACCTGCCTACAAAATTGGACAAAAACGTATCCTAACACAAGTTCTCCATTGTTTCTTCAGAAGGGTATACTCAAATGCAACAACTAGTTTTGAAACCACTGCAGATAATGGATTTTGTACTAAAATAAGAAAACTTGACTAACTTTTCAGTGCATTTATTCTGTTCATGAGGGGGGAATAAAGTAAACAAATTACAACATATCATCAAGAAATGTTCAAAGATCTATTCCAATGTTACAGCAGCCAATTTTACGAAATTTTACCCCATGGCGTTAGTCCACTTGCGCCACAGTTTATTGTAAGTTGCGCAACATTTCATGCTGTGTAACATTTCAGTTATGACAATTTCACAAAAGTTTCATAAGTTTTATTAGTTGCGTGAGTCCGCGACTTGCGCAAAAAAAATTATGGTGCAACTTGCACAATTTTAGGTGGCTTATGTTGTGGCGTAGCGACTAAAATTACCTATTTTACCAGCAAATCGTGATCGTCGTGGAGTCTGTTATTGCACAAGTTATCAAGGTTGATGATACAAGACACTCACAGTTTTGTGTTTACTTGCGACAACATTTTTAGAGTTGCCGCACGATTCCGAAGAAAGTCGGACTAAACTATTTTCAAAATGGTGGGCAGAGGTGACTCAACGACTATTTCGTGAATGAACAAACTTGTACAAAAACAGCCTTTGTATTAAATGATATTAATATCCTTGTCCAAGATGTTTAGATTCTTTAAAACATTGCGCAGCTACGCTACGTTTCCTGAAATCGATCGTAAGTTTATTGCGCAGCAGCGCAATAAATTTGTTGCATAAGTCCTACACATGGCGTAAGTTACGCAGTGTTTTGTGAAATCGGCTGCAGCACATACATGTATAAAAAAAAGTGTTACAAAGTATGAATTACATAACAAAAGAATGTAATCAATGCGAGGCAGAACGCCACTCCTAGGGCGTGTTTTCGCAACCGTGACCAGAAACATGTTTGTGACGTCAAAACGGTAACCAGGAACATGTTTACGCAGGCGCGAGAAAACGCAGAACCAGAAACCGTCATTTGCCGCACGCGCGCGCATAATAGCAAAGTATTATTTGAAGTAGCAGACGACATCGTTGACAAACGACAATCGTCATTTTCACTCACTTTACAGGCCACCATTTGGTATGTTTCCACCACTGCTGCCCTTTCTTTTCACATTCTAGAAGAAAGTAACCTTTTTGGTTCGCTGCATGCAGGGAATTCATAATGCGCTAATGTTTGGGACGACAAAAATATCGTCTGCTTACGTTTTAGTATTTTCCGCCATTTTGAATCTGTGATTACCAACTCCAACCTTCGGTTCTCGTTTGGTCGAAACAATGACGTCACACAGCCATAACCGAGGACGAGAAAACGCCTGACCAATGACCAAAGCGGAAACACGTTTCTGGTCACGGTCGCGAAAACACGCCCCTGATTATGTAATTTGTCTGTACCTGTTTCGTTGAGGCCTTGGCTCACTTGCTCCTGTAGTGTCGATATCTCTACACTCGGTTTGGCTGCCTGTGCCTATGACATGCATGAAGACAAAAAATCAATAAGGTTGCGAAAATGATGAGTTACTTATTGATTTCAAAACACACATCTGGTATTTATCCTGGAGACTGTTCACAGAAGAATACAATTGTGCCCATTTGTGTGATCCATTCATCAATAAGTTGCTGCAAGGTTTAATCAGCAGCCAAGGTTATGGCCAGTCAGTCACAATTTTTTGTAACAAATGTAAGGTTGTGAGTAGAAAATGTTTGTAGTTTGATTTTAAAGAGGTTGTGGAATGCTCGAAGACATTTCCGTCATTTCTTGGGTATATGTAGCCTAAGGTGTGATGAAATAAAAACGACTATTGTTTCTGTCATGAAATGAGTACAAAGGGTACTTTTGAGAGCTATTTTTCAGGTCCTGTTTCGACCCGAACGTGCAATTTGTGTAAAAGTCGTCGTTGCGGGCAGCAAACAAAATACAGTAAATCGTGACGTAATAAACAGGACTTGTTTATGCTACTCTGCATCGGGAGTCCTGTTTATTACGTCACGATTGACTGTGTTTTGTTTGCTGCCCGCAACAACGACTTTTACACAAATTGCACGTTCGGGTCGAAACAGGCATGACAGGACTTGAAAAACAGCTCTCAAAAGTACCTTTTGTACTCATTTTATGACAGAAACAATAGTCGTTTTTATTTCATCACACCTTAGGCTACATATACCCGAAAAATGACGGAAATGTCTTCGAGCATTCCACAACCTCTTTAACCTTTAAAAAAAAATACTCAGCCATACACCTGTCTGCCATGTGGCCAGGGAACACGCCCAACGAGTGACATGATGCTAGCAACATCATGAATTCTGCAAACCCGGGAAATGGACATTTGTGATCAAGTGGGTAGCACAGTAGAATCAACATTGTGGGTTTGGAATCCTCACTTATTTGAATATTCTGCCATTGCATACAAATTTAAAGACCAATTTAAGATTCAAATTTGTTTTCAGTTCTGCGTAAGTTTTCAGATCCTGAGATTAAGTAAGAAATTAGGAAACTAACAAGACAACTATTCAATTATAAAATATCATACTTAGAGGAAAACAAATTTGGGGCCTGTGATTTGTTTTTTCAGTTTTAACAGAAAAATGAACAAAATTACGCAACTGAAATGGAAGATAGCTTTAGATATACACACACTTCTCATTTCTCTGTTTGTTTAGGCCTATATGAGCTCTTATTTACGTTAGCCTACTTGAATGCCATAAATCCCCGCGTGTGGTTTTATACCTGAGCTGCCCTTTTCAGCTGGAAATAAAGGCGTGATTTGCGGATCTCCTGAGCAATGTAGGCAACCACGACGGATTGTTCCTCCCCATCTAGATTAACAGCCATGCCACTCGCTAGAAAACTGCAAACCAGAAGAGAAATTAGGTAAAAATATAGAAACTATAGTCTACAGTTTCCCCCAGCGATTAAAAACGCAGAAAACAAAAGGCAGCACTTGGATATTTGACTGTGAACTGGTCCCCGATTTATTTCCTTGTTGAATAGGCACTGAAATGAACATGAACAGTGACTGTTTTGGCGACTTGGAACTTTTTACCCTGACCAGAGTTTATTTTTTTGTAATTTTTATTTTTTTTTTTAAATAAGATTTTTTTAATTTAAATGAGATTGAACAAACAATAACAATGAGTGGCGCAACCTCGTTTCGAAATCTTGACACCGCGCTTGTTGGTTAAACACGTAATAAATTTATCCCAACTCGAGCCACATGTTGCTCGAGTTGGGATAAATTTATTATATTACATTGCGTACTTGCATAGGTGCACATGCACAGAGGAATGCCAGCGGAAGAACGCAAAAATATGCCGGAGAAGTTCACGGTTCTTCAAACACTTTGAATACAAAATGGAAGGAATTCCATGCATGGACATCACTCATTTTTCCCTGCAGTGACCTATCAGCCATCAGAAAGCCATAACATGTCCTAAAAAGTCAAATTTAGCAGGGAAGATATTGAAGCATTTACTGAGAAAACACTTACAATTTTTTTAGACCAGTCTCACTCTCATAGGGTTTGTGCACAGACTGTCAAGTGATGTACAGGTATGGAATTCTTTCCTTCAAAATTAGGTCAACTTTACTCACCAACAGAATCCAGATGAAACTTTCCAAATTGAAAAATTTGTAGTTTTTAATGTGAGGGCTCCTTTGGAAAACAATTTTACACTGAAAATGGACTACCCTTGTAAAAGATTACGAAATACAATTAAATAAAAAAGAAGTTAGACCTAAATTCCCTATACGGGCAAAAATTCATAAGAATAAAGATCAATTATTTTCAGGCACAAATGTTAAGGTCTGTAGTTTCTCAAATTTTCTTACCAGTACAACACATACCAGGCACTCAGCATAATGTCATGTTTTGTCGGTTCTTTTATTAGTACAAGTGCTTTTAACACTAGCCTATCGTTTTCCAAATCTAACGTTACCTAGTACTGTGAACGGAAAGATTCCCATATCTGGCCATCAGTAATTTTTCCCTTAAATGACCTATCAGTATCACCCATCAGAAAGTGACAATTAATATGTCCTAAAATTAAAAAGTCAAAATTAGCATTTATAGCAAGGACAAATTTTGAATTTGTACTGAGAAAACACTTAGAAATTTTCAGACCAGTCCCATAGGGTTTGTGCACAGGGGGTGACAAGTGATGGCCTGATATGGGAATCTTTCCCTGTGAACTCATGAGACATGAACTGTCCGAAAACTGGGCCGATATGTCAAATATCGATTTTGGCAAAGTGTAGCTACGGATATCCATTTTTCTCTCGTATACTCTATGTATAGCTAAGACAGTATTTGTTCCATACCTGTCAACTTTAAATACATCGATGTCGACACCAATTTCCTGATTTTGAGAATTGTTCTTGTTGCACAGATACGGTAAACAACGTTACAGCTTTTAAAACCCCGCTTGCGCATTATAACATACGGGACTGGTACCCCATTAATAAGTTTGACTGATCGCTGTTTGAAATACGGCACCAGTCTAAAACGGCAACATTTTCCTACGAAACAACTGAGGGCGGGCTGTAACATAAACGGTGTCGATAACATTTACAACCCTACGTGCTACGTGAGGTGTGTTTTTAATTTAATCAATTTATATTGAAATTGCGCTTTCTAAAAAGAATGGAGAATAATACTGTGCTAGTATGTGAATGCACCTTGACACTAAAAGGGGCGTTAAAAGGGTTTCTTTTCTTTTTGAAATTGTCAAAATATTAATTTCCACTTAGAAATTTGCCAATGACGCCTGCATTTAAAATGAGGCATTTGAATTCCGACCTAAATTGTTAATAATTATTCATTGTGCCACAGCCGAATCATTTGATCTTTTTAATTTATCACTATTTTTTATATATGCAATTTTAAAAAGAACATCCTTTATTGACATTAAGGAAGTCATAAATTTATACCAGCACAGGTAATGCACATAATATCGATATCGATCAGGCACGCACAGAAGCTGCATTCACTGTAGGTAAAATATAATTGCATATTAATTGCTTATTTAAAGATAATTGCATATTGCAGAGGCCTATCGAGCCTGTATAGTCCGCAGCATATTAATTGCACATTAAGCCGAAAATCGAGCACCCGAAGAATTGATTGGATGGAGGCATTCTATCTCGATTTGATAACATTATCTCATTCCCACTCTTAGAGAAAAACGTGTTGATGGCCGTGTTCCTGGTTAAAGTCTAAACCCAACCCTAGCCGTTCGATTGTGTGCGTGACCGGCCACCGCGCCGTCACCATGTACCAGTCGTCATAAAATATGACGCCAGTATTCTGCTCCTTTTCTCCCTCCTGCTTGGTGCCAACCCCCGCAAAACATCACCCTCCGCCCATGCTCCGCCGTACGGTGTCTGGTGCTTTCCAGCCAATGTCAAGTCGGACTTTGTCCCACTTTTGTCGATCTAAATCGATGTTGTTCAGCACTACGCCGGCTTTCCTCTTATTAATAATTACATTTTCCCCTCCAGTGACCCCATGTCATGTTATGTGGTGATGGGTTTGAACACCCGCGCTTTGGCCAAAAAACTCATTAGACAACGTGGAAGGATACCGCCTGTGGATTTTTTTTCTTTCTCTGAGTGTTGATACTTTTTGGTGTTGGAAGTGACGTCAGTTGTTCAGCTTCGTACGTCGTTGGTACGTTCTTGTCGTGCTACGTTAATCAGCAATGCGAACAGACTTGTCAGGTAGGCCTACTTTTCGCCGCAGTTCTCTTTTATTTATTTTTTATTTTCAAAATAACCTTGGTAGAAATATTCAATCAATTTCTAACCTAGATGCGTGGCTGTTTAGATCTGGAAAGGCAGACCCAATAGGTTACAGGTCCAAATCATTGAAAATATACATGTAGTCATTTTGCAGGCGCGGTTCTCACGGGGGGCCTAGTGGGTGGGGGGGCAACTTTTGTCTTACCCCCCCCCCCCAACATGCAGTAAAAGACTAGATGTTTGTGGACAAAGACATGGCTTTTTTCGGAATTTTGTTGACATATATTGAGGTCATGATATAGACTGATAGTTTGTACATCCCAATGTTGGTGCATATCAAGTTAGCACTGAATCAAATCTGTGCTTCTGTTGATATAGGTCTTATATATTTTTCTTGATATAAATTACTTGATGTCGTCATAATGACGTCGCTTCGGATTTTGAATACCAGTATCATAACGATCGGACATTCCCATAAGGTATTTCAAATGTTACCTTTTAGATGACGTCATGATGACGTCAATGTTCGGCATACATCTGAAGGTGCTAGTCTAGGCGTGTGCCAAGTATAAAGGCAATCGGATTGATTTTTGTGCCCACAGTGCCATGCACGATGAAAACGTGTACAAATGCTATGGGAAATGGCTGAAAAAGAAAAAGGGGGAGAAAAAAAACTCTTTACAAAAACAAAGACTGGTTCGGCAATTCTAGAAATTACTGTCTATATCTAGAAATTACTGTAAGTTAAAAAATAAACACAGAGAGTCCCCCATTCAGTGCAAGAGCAGGGATAACGCAAAAACAGTTTTAAAAACTTATTTCCATTGAGGTCCAAAAAATTACCCTTTACCTCCTATAAATAAAGAGTATTAGAATCAACTGGTTCAAAGAAGGTATGTTTGCAGTAATTTAAAACAAACGCGTACTTATAGAGGAAATAATGTACACCTATACCAAATTCATATTATCTTAAAAACCATCAAAATAAATGTTAATTACATAATATTGCACCTTAGTAACATTGGAGCATGCGATTGAGCATTATGCCTTCAAAGATTGGTATTCAAAAGGAAAGAGACACTTGAGTATTGAGGGAATTGTTTCATACTTTTTACTTTTAGCCTGGACTGATTTGTTCCGTGTAATAATAAATCAAAACTTAAGTTATTAAAATACACAGACATGTGATATATTCAACTAGCGCCGGGAAACTTATATTTAGTAACACGAAGCCTAACATAATAGTGCACGTCCTATTTGTTTTACCGCTGAGGCATCTGTTGAGGTATTCTGGTAAAAATAAATAAATATAACACCAGTTGAGATATTCTGTGTCGTTTGCATGGCTCTCTATTTTGCTGGCTTTGCAGAACACTAATTACGTTCTTACACGGGAAATTATCCATATCTTCATATTCTCTTTATAAGCAATGAGAATGAACCGTCGATAAGAACTGATGGAGGGAATATGATGTGCGTCATAAAGACAAGTGCATGCACAAACATTGCCAATCGTTTGCCCGGCTTCTGTTCCACTGTGACAGACGTCATAAACGCAGATGAAGTGTATGTCAAGAGTTTTGACGTTGGTATCACATCTAATCAGACGACGCGAGCGATTTCAAGTTTTATGGTTGATAAATATTTGTATATTGCAGCTCTTATTGCAGAAATAAAATTGTCAGATACGGTAGGGTTGACTGGGGCACAAGAACAACAACAAAAACGAGCAATAAAACAAAAATAGAGTGACAGTAGCCTACATTTCATGAAATGCATCATTAAACCTACAAAGTTATATTCTAATTACAATTTCTTTTACAACGTTCTTGTCTTAAGATTGAAAACGGTGCACATATTTCTCCACATGTTGTAGGCGAAACTGGGAATCTGGTGTATCTCAGAGACTCCCTCGTGGTGTTTCTGCAAACAGCTACCGAAACCTCTGGGTAATAACACATCTTGTCATCAATAATGGTTTTTGGTAGTCCAATGCTCAAGCAACAGGTCTTCAGATCCCCCACATAAGCTTGAGTAAACTTCAATTGGCACAATCTCTCCGATTGCATGGATATCGGCTTTGCTCGCACCAGAAAAAAAAAGGCAGAGCGTTTGGGGAAAAGCAAATTGAAGTTCATTCTCGCAGACAGTAAAGTGAGATTAATCAAGCCAAAGATGCGGTTGGAACTGGGGCTGGGGGGAAAATAGAAGAAGAAAAACGAAAAAGGTATCGCGGAGATTTTGTTGGCGCGCGTTACATTGGCCGGCAAATCAATTTGCACGCGTCAAAACACATATCCCCCGCCTGCGGGAAAGATGTCTTCGATTTGCCGCTAAGCGACGACTCCACCACCTGCCTAGCCATTCACCGAAGGAAATTCACTTTGACACCTAGCCAAGGCAACCTTGCGGACATCGTACGGGGCCGTCCACTCTACACTGCGCGATGTAGCCTGCGTCTTGCCTCTGAGGCGGTAAAGGTGTTCTGCTGGCCTTCTGGTCAAAATGCTCGTCGAATTGGCGTCATTTCAGTCATTCGTAAATATCGTAATTAAAGTTTCCCTGGCCCCTTTCTCAGTTTCTATTAGCCTCTTGCTCCATACGTCTTTCACTTTGCGTAAACAGGCATTTTGCGTCGCTCGCCGAAACCTCGCGGTCATCGTAAATTGAAAATGGCGAAGTGAAAGAATCTCTCCCCTATGGCTTTGCTTCCTCCACTACCCTTTTCAGCCTTATATCTCCTCTAGGTTTTGTCTAGATAAAAGAAATAAGAGACTGCGTGTTTGACCCCATCTTGCAGCTGTCGCATGGCTTGTAGGCGGGGACGGAGAACTCTGGAAACAAAAGTCCGAGCGGTCAGTGACGGGACTTGAACCAACAGTTTACCGACCGCACCTTGGGCGTTGAACCAGTCCCCTGAGTGTCTAAATAACACTTTCTTAAACGTCAGTAACACTTTCTTAAATGTCAATCAAAGCAGACCTATTACTGGAGAGTTATCTTTCAAGACTTACATTTTTTTAGCAACAGCATCCATGCACGTGGTTACTTATTCAACAATTTGCATTCATGTCATACATAAACCCGTCTTTGTTTTTTGGGGTTTTTTTGTATATGCAACCAAAGACAGGCCCTTTCCCAATCAATACGGTAGAATGCGCAACATACTTGCTGTTCATCTTTAACGGACTCCCAGACTTGACTGTCACCATGGTAACACAATACCCACGTGGCGCCCGAGTTTGGTATGATATATAATTGTTGTGAACTTGTGAACTCATGCCTGAGGTATGGTTTGACAGACTTTATGCCGTTTGTGCCAAGTGTCTTAATTAAGCAGGCACTCCATATCGATTGGTCATTGATCAGGTTATTGCTCATGTCCCGCACAGTAAACAAAGCATTCAGCGTGCAATGAAGGCGTGTCTTCAAGTTGTTACTTATATCTGCAAACATTGGGATATTCGTCTGTTTGCACAATCATGTTCGTGTTTTTAGATTATGTATATATGGAATTAGGGAATATGGTACTGCTTGTGCTTAATTAAAGGTAGGCTGATATGCCAAAAAGAATATAAGAAGAAAAACTGAAAACGGCTGTATGTTTCCTAATATTCAATTTTGAGTTAATGGAACTTAAAACTTGCAGAAAACATTTGATTTTTGTTGTCTTCTTTCTTTGAGTTACCTATGTCACCATGGGGAAAGAGGAATTTAGCGTTACCAAAAACAGATGTGAGACTGTAAAGGGCAGGAATCTATTTACTTTATGACTTCAAAAGTAGTTTCTACAAATAAGCTATTTTTACTTTAATTACTGGTCATTAATGATACAGCTGTGTCTATTAATAATTCATTCATGTTGACAAAATGCAATACATTTCAACGATACCACACGTTTTGTGACACAAACAAATATTGAAAATGTCTATACTGGCGTCGGCATTGATATTTCGACATTCATACTAGTATGAATCGTGACACCAACAAGACAGTAATGTATCTCCTTTCCTAGTCGGGTGCGCCAATAGTTATTTTTGTAAAGTGAGTTTTCATTAACTGATCAAAAATTCGAGGTACATTTTTTTTTTTGAATTAGTGAGGTTTAATGTTTCATTTGTTTTTCTTTTCTCATGCAGGAAAGGGATGACATAGCACTTTGCGCAATCCAATCAGCATTGAAAACAGCACACCAGAGACCTAGCCCAGATGTGAAAGAAACGCACCGCCGTTACATCCAACTGTTCGAATTCAAGGCAAGACACTGTTGAAAAAAAAAACACACACATACACGAGGAAGTCTGCATGTGTTAACGACACGAGCCAACACTACCACGCAAATACCGATGCCCTAAATTTCACTGAAGCGAGAGAACGGCGCGATCGCTATCTACCTTAGATAGCCGCCATAACCACAAGTGAACTCTGTTGCTGGTGCACACACAAAAAGCAGCGCCGGGGAAAATTAATACCAAGCTGCAAAATATTACCCACGTGATACCATCGGCTGGGAAAATGCAATTAAATCGGCAGCACGAGCCCAGTATATAGGCATGTATAAAAGAGGTACTCTTTGACCAAGGAGGCAAGAGCCACCGATAGATACTACCTCATCAAGTCTACTCTTACTTCATATTTCCCATGGGATTATTTGTGTGGCAACATCTGCAGGATAAATGACAAGGAGTTGCAGCCGATACTACTTCAGCGGGGTCTGAGTCGTAATTCGCACAATCCAGACGAGGAAATAGAGAGGCGCCGAGGAGACCTGTAAGAAACGCTGCTATCTCAATGACAATCCATGAATTACCGATCTCCATATGAGAGAGAAGTGCGTAATTTGTAACCCTCAAGTTGCTAATTTTTCATTGGAAGGATTCGGAAGCCGCAAATTTGAAATTAGAAAATTGGCGTATCTCTGCGACATAATTGTACTCGACGCCGGTCAGTACCGGGGAGAGTTTGGACAGTTTCCGCTGCACTTTATGATCGAGTACCAGGCTGCTTCCTGATACTTGGAGACCTACTTCTGGACTCGCCTTGTGTAAACGGATATCCAATTTAATAACTGTCAAACTTCGATCAGCATATAGCAAGGATCGCATCATGGCGACCTCAACCTCGACCCCTGGCGCCAGTCTTCCGTTGGACTTCTCACCTGTCCCGGCGGTCACCGCCCGAAGCGACTTCACCAACGCCACAAACTCAATGCTCTGGCCAACCGAGGACTACCCCAACAGAAACGAGACCAGCCGCATCGGCTTCACCCTCAACATCCACTTTGTCGCAACCTTGTACGCCATCGTCTTCGTCCTCGCCATAGTCGGCAATATCCTGGTCTTGGTCACCCTGGCTCAAGACAAGCGCATGCGCACGGTGACCAACATGTTTCTCCTGAGTCTGTCTACCAGCGATCTTCTCTTTGGTACATTCTGCATGCCTTTCACTATAGTCGGGAACATCCTGGGCCGATTTGTTTTCGGTGAAGTCGTTTGTAAAGTCGTCCCTTTCATTCAAGGTAAGAGTTTTCTCCTTATAGCTCCATCCGTTTTTAAAGGTGATATTTGTCATGACATCACTGGAGTCCATCTTAAGACAACTGTCGACCTGCTCCTCAGAAGATTGTGAACTTTTAAATACCTTCATCTATAATTCATCAATCGTAAGACAGTGTGCATAACTATCATAGTTGTCATACAGACCTATCATCACAATTAAATTATTACAAGTTATTCGCCGGTCATCCTGGCGCAGGTTGATTGACAGGTCATTCAAAATGAACCGTGACAAAGTTGTACCGCTGTCATTATTTTTTTCATTTCCTGTAACTTGTGAACTATCTTGTGATTTGAATATAATTTACTTACAAAGTGATTGACGTGAGAAAGACTCAAATAAAATTCTGATTTGCATTATATTTCCATTTGATCTTAGCCTTAATTTCAATGCCTGCTGTCTTGGTCTGCACGTACAATGATATTGTTATTAAAGACTGAGAACGCGCCTCTAAGATATCTAATTGAATCATCCCCGAAAAAGTAACCATAAAAATAACAAACTCTTACATTATAGGGGCCTGTTTCATAAAACTGAAAAAAAAAAAAGTTTTGCGGATAAAACACAGCAACATAGCTCCCGGTTTCAGCATAATTAATATCGTATAACGTAGTCATATCCTTTTAGCTCTTTTGAGATCATTTACCTGAAACAGCCCCAAAATTCTTTTAACCAGGCAAGCCAGTATATCTTGGCGCTCACGTGAACTTAATTTTGCTCAGACTATTAACCGGATTTTTGCCTCTGCAGGGATTTCTGTGACAGTGTCTGTCTGGACCATGGTTGTCATATCTCTCGAGAGGTATCACGCTATCTGTCATCCCTTATCGTCTCGCATTTGGCAAACGAAAGCCCATGCGTACAAGGCAAGTAAATCAGAGACTTTGATACATGTCTCGATGAGACTTATTAATTACCAAACCGTTAAGTATGGTGTTGATAAGCTCAAGGAACGTACACATGCTCATAATATAACCTCTTGTCTGCTGCCACCTAGAGGCTGAATATGACCTCTCGTCTATCCCCAACCGATACAAAGCCATTAATTATAACTACTTTATCATTATCAGGCTATTGCAGGAGTATGGTTTGTTGCCATATTGCTGAACCTACCAGCCGTTATCTTCAGTAGACTGTCCCCCATAAACGACGGTGGCACGGTGTTCAGGTGCCATGAGGCGTGGCCCGCGGAAATATACCTAACAGTATACAGGGTAAGCTGACAGGCTGGATTGACATTGTTTTTTTCTTCGTCCCTGTGGCCAGCTGGGTGCAGTGACATACCCCGGGGTGCTGTCGGGGTTGAGGCAGGTCCTTCCCCTTTCCCAAGTAAGATATACAAAGAAAAAAGGAAACGGGAAAAAGACACCCGAGCCTGATAGTGTATAAGTATTAAAGGGAATTTAGCAATAGAAACTATTGGAAAGGGAGTCCGAAAAGATTGCTTTATGCGCTATCATATACTACCATAAAGAGCGCCTAAGCGTCAAAATGAAGTCTAGCCCTATTTCCATTTATAAGTTGAATTTACCAGACCCACACTTTTGAACTTGCTCATTGGTGATCGATCGATCTGACACAGCCAATTTTCATTCTTATATATACTTTCTCCAAATATAGATGTGTTTACTTGTGATCCTGATGGTCATACCCCTCTTCACAATGGCCATATCATACGGCCTTATTATCGTGGAGCTGCGAAAGGGTATGAAACTTGAGCAGTGCACTGCTGATAATGGTACGTAGGAGTCCAATATTACCTTGAAAGTAATGAATAATGTATGTAGAGTGGTTCATTTAGACACATTTTAAAAAAAAATCTAATTGTGACTTGTCTGAAATAAAGTAGCTGGTTGCTGATTTTTTTCCTTAATGTGCGATTCATATCGATATTCTCAATAATTGCTTAATTTCGCAATTGTCGACTTTGTCCCTGAAGATCGTACAGTCGTTTTCTCCTTGTTACGCTTATCCCACTTTCTAATGACTAGCGTAAATCTAACCTGGGAAAGCGTATTAAAGTAAGTTTGACAAGCAAGTATAGTCGTGTAGGTTTTTTTGGTAGTAGCCTAAATGTTTAACATTCCATCTATCATCACAGAGAAAGGAGAAAACGGCATAGCTATGAAGAATCTTGGTGACGAAGCCTCCTGCAGCCTGAACGAAAAGAAGAAGAAAGCTGCCGCCTCGACGGCCGTACGAAGCACCTCAACCAGCGGTGCCAAGAAGCGAGTCGTCAAGATGTTGATTGTCATCGTGCTACTGTTCTTCATCTGCTGGACGCCAGCCTGGGTGGCTAACACCTGGATCACGCTCGACGTGAGGAGCGCTCAGATCCACTTCGGGCGGGCTGAGGTCACTATCTTCAAGCTCATGACCTACATCTCGGCCTGCATTAATCCCATCGTCTACTGCTTCATGAACAAGAGGTTCCGACAGGGCTTCCTGAATGCCTTCTCCTGCGGGAGGGCCCGGGCTTCGGACCGGGCTACGGCCAGTGAGAACGTCAGCCGGTTCCAGTCCACGCGGCGTACCAATATGACGCGACCAAGCCCGACAAACTACACCAATGTTTCCTCCGATTCCTCGGTGTAACTCACCCTTTGAGGACCAGCGAAGTTTCGCATAGTCTAAATATAGGTCATTGTACCATACTGGCTGTGATTATTGATACATTTTCACAAGAAAGTAGTCAATGTACACCAGTTTACAAAGATACAGATGTAAATGAAAATGCAGGAATGAATCATCCAATGACCATTCTTGCCCCATGATTGGGGAAGGATCTCTGTCTATTACTGTTCCTTCAGTTCAAAATGTTTTGTATTACGTGCAGTACACTAGACTGCTGGGTGACAACTAGCGCTTAACTTCTGTGCTCAGAGATGTACATTACTGGCAACCAAAAAAAGCATGCGGACCTTGATGTCAGTTTAAATTAAGCTCTATAGGCAGAGGTGGAGAACTTTGTAATTGGGACCTAATATTCATACAAAAGGGCAGACACCAGAACTTTTCAAGCTGGCTTGACGTTTTGAGTGCGTAACTTGATAAAGCTTGGGCGGTACCTTTGCGTTATGCAGCATTACTCCCCACAGAACGAAATCTATTGTGAAAGACGAATGCCGCAAAATTCAGAGTCTTGAGAATGGATATCAAATTGTGTGAAGAGATAGGGAGAACAGTTTGTCAATTCAGGTGAATTAAGCACATTTTGTTAACCATTTTTGTTTTTTTAATTTTTTTATATAAATTCCAGATGAGGTGAAATATGAGGATGAGTGAAGATTGAGTGTGGTCTTGTCTCGAGACTGCTTCATCGTAATGACTCGTAAGTTTGATGTACTTGATGCGAGGTATGAGGTGTCAGGAGACTGTGTGCAAAAGTATCCCAGATGGTGAAAAAGGAAATGAAAAGCAATTGAGTGGGTGGAATGAATGGAGATGGGGAAAAGGACGGAGTAAAAACACGAGTGGAAAGAAGAATGGGTGTGGAAATGTATGGATCCACTGGGGAACAGAGAGAGAGAGAGAGCTTTATGAGAAGACATATGGAGCGAAATGAAGCATTGTGGAAGGAAGAGAAAGGTGAAGAATCAGATGAAACACGCAAAGGCACTGCATTCCGAGCCTCATCAGCACGCATTTTATAATTAGTATCGTAATCATAGAGCTGTATGTTAAATACGCACATCAGCCTGTTGAAATGAGTTATTCGCCCGTTACAACCCACATGCGATACCACGCAATGCACGATTCAACATGTTTGAAATGGCATGCCGCTGGCGTATGACGTAAATTAAGTTTTAGCAACTTGCCGCTACATTATGGTACTTCTCAACGAAATCACGTTTTGTGATAAAAGAAAAAATGCATTGGTTTTCTGTGTTTTTTTCTCGAGTAGGCCTAACCACTGAACCGGGGAAAAAAATGAACGTATAGTCTTGTTGGTGTTTTTGATTGCTGTTCAGGTTTAATAGGGGGAACGGAGTGGAATTATAAATGGTCCCATAAAAGGTAAAGATTTTGTAATGTTAAACGATTCTGTGTGTCCACTTGCTGGTGAGATTTGCGTTGTTTAAAATTGAACACTTTTTGTGTGTAGTAAAGTCATCCACGAAATTAAACAAAAACTCAAAATGTAAATACCAATTTCAAACAAATGATGTATAAAGCTGTGGCTTAAGTAATTGAGTAAAATGTCTTACTCAACAGAGAATAAGCACGCCTTAGATTGGAGCAATCTCTGTTAAACAAAATATGAAATCAAACGGCCATTGTATATACAAAAACAAATACATGTATAAATGTATTTTAACAGCATACTATATAAGCCATATGTATAGATGACAAAGAATTTACGTCAGAGTATTTATTAATTCCTAGTTTAAGAATATCAATAAGTACAATTAACTGTTTTAGGGTAAAGATGTAAAAACTGTTTGGCTGTGAATATATTTTTTTAAATACAGTGTGTAAACAAAACATGTTAAAAATTAAGTGGAATTCTTTGTGTAAGTTCTCATTTTGGAGATCAGGAGGGTAGGTTTAATGTTGGTCAAGAAATTCACATTTTGTGCACACGTCTTTTTTTATTTTATCATGACTAGCTGCAGAACGCAGCAAGACTGGTTGTTAGGTTGTAAAACACTTTGAATAGCGCCCTCCCTATCTCAGAGTTTGAATTGCGCCCCCTCTGTTAGAAAAGTACCTATCGGTAGCGCCCTCTCTGATAGTTTATTTGTCACACTCCCTAAATGTCAAACTGTATAATGCAACAGCACATAAGCGTCAAGGATGTGGAACAAAAACTGTGAACAAAATTAAATTGCCGTTATTATATTACCCTTGCACGTTAAATGTAACACCTATTATACTTAACAGAAAACTTTTGTGAATTGATTTAATGAAAATCTAAAGGCTTTTTTAATTTGCCAAATTGGAAGGAAAAAAACGCCAACTATTTTACCTCCAGGTTTTTTTGTTTTGTTTTTTGCTTTTGAGTAATCTATTGTTTTTACCAAGTTTGTAAATAAGAAAATATTGTTTCATTATTTATATCAAAAGATGTCTTTAGAGTGGGTTGCGTTTTCGTCAATGGTATTATTAAGAATTTTTACAAATCAATTTTTTTTTTAAGTTGCAGTCAAAACGTTAATTACAAAGTGGTGAGCAGGATTCGCCATATATAAATAGCTCTCTCTGTTGTTTTTCTAAGGTGAGGCAAAACGTTTGTTTCAAAAATTATGTTTGCGAAAAAAAATTTGAATCTCAGAAATGATTTTGCATGTAATAGGTCGAATCCAGAACAACAGAGGGCGCTACACCTTGACTCACGTTCAAATTAATGTATGATTTTATAAAAAAAAAAAATTGTTGGACTTTTGGAGAGAAAAAAACGCACGCAATTCAGCCTACAAGTTAAAAATTGTATTAACGTACATATATAATTAGTATCAGCTTCCACAGCGGTATGAACTTCCACGGCGATAAAATGAATGTCACTTGCTCATTTATCCATCCTAAAACGCAAAAATTTACACAAAACTGCATTTGTTGAGTGCAATCTGTTAGTGGCGTTTCGTCCTAATATTCTAATGATTATCATTAAAATGATTACGTGCCAGGTTATAATGTCTGTACCTGTGTCATTTTTTTCATTAGTGCCATAAGTTGCTTTCCTTCTATTCTGCACATCGTATCTCTTGGCGCTTTCAACTGAAAAGAACTGACATTAACTAGAGGTTTGCGTTTGTTGAGTTACAAACGCAGAGTGGTCGGGCTGGCATATTTTCTTGTGTTTACAATGACTTAATCATAATTGAACTGCACAATACTCCTCCAATTACCCTGCATATCCATTACCCTGTGTTTTTCACAATGAAAGTCAACACACCCTGCAGTTTAACTTGTTGCTTTACCTCGACAAGACTTGTAGGTCTATCAGGAAGCGCACATATGGTGCTGCATGGATGGCTACTCAAGCATTACAACCAGTTAGGACTATTGGTAGACTTGCCGGAGCCTCAACCGTCGTTGGAGTTTATGCAACATATGCTAATCATATCATAACATGGCTTTTATGTTTTTTTTCTTTTGCATGGGCATAATAAAATTCTGCACTGACTTTACGACAGAAACGTTTGTGGCTACACGTTGTGGAAATATTAATTTTCAGCATTCAGATATGTGAGGAAAACTGGTGAGGCGCGATTTCAATCGGTTATGGAAAGAAATCCTGTTTTCCTTTTATTTGACGCTAATTTCTATATTTTGAATTCACCTAACTTTGACCTTCCGGCAGCCCCGGAAGGAAAGGTCAAACGACCTTGACTTTCGGATGATGACGCCATCACATTGTTTTTGTGTCTGGCATTCCTCACTAAACACTTTCATAATATATGTGTCTGTAGTAAAATGCTTCCGCTTTTGAGCTATATTCAGTTTTTTATTGCACTTCCGGTAACACCGGAAGTAAAGGTCAAGCAGTTTTGTGTCTGGGGGACAAGAAATGTTCCTCACGGCATAGTCTACAACCTCACGAAAAAACAAACACGATACTCTATTTAGTTCAAAAGATATACGCAAACTATTTTGTCAAGATTTGCCCTTAAATCGCTTGTAATTTGATACCTGATAACGTCATGATGACGTAACAAAATTCATAACATCTTCGTAACATGGTACAAGTTCACACAAGGTTTTGTGATCATACCGTGAACCATTCGGAAGAAATGCTGCTTTGTTTTGATGTCAGGCTAACGTCTTCATTTTGAATTCACCTAACTTTGACCTTCCGGTAGACCCGGAAGTAAAGGTCAAGCGAGTTCACGTACGCGACAAAAACTGTTTAGCGATTAATGGTCTATCTGATGACAGAATACAAACATCATTGATTGTTTAGTTCAAGAGTTATAGGTGAAAGTAATTGGTCACTTTTTCAGATAAAATCACTTGTAATTTGACACCTGATGACGTAATCATGACGTCAGAGTAATATGCACCACTTCGGATGAGGGTCGATATATATTGAAAGTTACAAGTTCATACCATATACCGTTTAAGAGAAAACCCGCGGAGAAGTATTGTCCGGAAAAAAAAAAAAGAAAGAAAGAAAGAAAGAAAGATTAATCGTAACAGATCCAAAGAGTGGTCGGGTTGTGCCCGACCACTCAAAAACATAACCTCTGTTACATCATCTTGATTAAAATATAATGTAGTGAATTCAATCACAAATTGTTCAAGGGGGTGGGGTGTGATCTCAAAGTAAATTGGGATGAGCGTGTTGGAGATTGTCCCGATACGGATTGATGTCACAGAATCACAATTTCACGGCTGAATTTCAGCGAATTAATTGCAGAATTTATTCAATCATGGGTAAAATCAAGTTTATCAGAAACACATCAAAGCTCAGCAGAATCAAAAACCAGAATGGTAAAATGTAAAAATCAAAAGATGTAAAGATCCAAAGATGTACACAGGTTTAGGAAGAGCCCACTTTCTTCTACATTTAAAGCATATAGGCATGCTTCCAAATATGAACGGACTCAGCCAAAATGCGAGAAGGCCCCAATAAAATTATCGTCGCCGCTGATGGAAAAGAAAACCAGCGCCTCGATCCCGCGCACGGCACTATGTGGACACACCACCAAGCGTCACACCCTCCATAAAATGGCGTTATGAAACTAAATAAACCGATAAAACATAATAATCTCGTTAAAAAGAAACTAATACAGTTATTATAAGCGACAAAATAGTGTAGGAGAAAAGCCTCCCAAATGTTGGGCCTAGTTGTTTCTAGTGCAGGGATTTCAAGACAACTGCTGCTGCAACATTTGCATGTGCATTCAGGTCACAAGCAAACATTTCAATAAAGGTAAGGATGTATTTTAACAATAAAACTCGCTTTATATACAATATACAAAATACGATAGGACACCCTTTCAAGTTATGGATACAACGTGACCGCAGAACATGAAATGCGCCCTCTGCTGGCTAATAACACATTTAGTTTGGGGTGGTTGATTTTGTTTTTGTTTGTTTGTTTCGATATTTTCAGTCTAAGGTTCTTTTGCACATGCTTAATGACAAAAAAAAGTGGCATCGGTGTGCCAAAAATGAAATGGTTCTTATTCATGGATGTTGCCCTTCACACGAGTACTCTTGGTGCTATTTGACGATCTTGAGATATCCAAGACTAAGAAGAGGTATCAGTGACACGCCTTGAACGAAGCCTAGCATGATGAATGCTGCGGTGAAGCTACCAGTGGTATCGTACATCCATCCTGAAATAAAATTAAAAAAACACCAGTAAACTTGAATAACTAATATTGATTACGAAATTAGCGATTCAATTTGTTGTGAGGGTGACTACTTACCAGGCAGAAATCCAAAAGCGGTGGCCAACACGGCAGCTTTTAGCTCTATCCACCCAAAGGCGCCAGCTAGCAATTCAACTCCCAGGACCTGCTTGACAAGGACATCCGTTTGTGAGAAGATTACTCCGTTGCTGGTCAACATCACTAATGACACCGCCATCATAGTCCAATACGAAGTCGTCAACGCGGTCCCGCAGAGCGACACAGAGCCCACCACTGTGGCTACGGCTGACATACACCAGGATGGTGCCAGGCCCCGGTCCGTTACGGACCCCTGGACGACTTTGGAAACCAGATTTCCGATCCCAGCGACCAGGATGAAATGGCTTGCGTCCTGGATGGTAAAGCCTTGAGCAAGCGCATGTGTCACAAAATACACAATCCACATGTCATAAGCGAAGTTTGTTGTGCAAAATATGATAGCAACAGACCAGTATCTCGCACTGCACATCAGACCCAAATTCAAACTCCCGGAAACCTTCTCCCATGAAGCGCAACAGCGAGACGGGACGGTTGTTCCTCGTGAGGCTGAAGATTCGTTCTTGCCAGCCAGATACTGATAATCAGTCTTTGGTTTGGTTGAATCCGCTGCACCTTTTGTGACCATGAGGGCGCCACACACGACACCATGTGACATGATTCCTCCAATGAGAAGCGTAGTTCCTCTCCATCCGTAGGTATCGAGGAAAAGTTGGACTAGGGGCGTGAAGACGAACAATCCCGCCGAGTAGCCGGTCCGCGCAATCCCGTTGGCTGTCGCGTAGTTCTTGGTAAAACAGCGCCCGACAGCCTCCTTTGCCACAACGTTTAATATTCCCCAACCAGTGCCTGAAAAAGGGGGAAAATTGAAAGTCGCATTTTTTTTTATTCAATCGACCAAAGAATCATGGTTAAACAAAGGTCGATAGGAAGGATCTCCTCATCCCTCCCCTGCCCTTAGCCCCTCCCCTCTCCCCGCCCAGCGCTGACGTACAGCGCCACACGGAGTCAAACACAGGGTAACTCCAAAAAAGTGACATGGTTTAATGATTTGTTTCTCGAGAAACAAATTAAATTTGATGCACCAATGAAGCATGTATTAAGCCAGCATCTTCTACTCGTGAAAAAAAGAAGAAGAATTACTGAGATTGATCCATGCTTCCAGAAGTTCAGGAATGAAAGCAGCACTTAACAAATATCAAAATAAAATGTTTAAAAACACCTTCCATCGCCAACCATGCTGCGAGTTAACGTTATACCGTGCATGGTTGCATGAATATACTGAAGTATTTTATTGTAAATTCTTTCCCCCGTATCGCACTGAAGCAAAAAGCAGACATAATTTAAAAGCTTTTTCATAATTAGGTACGCAAAATTTATGGAAGTTTTATGATCTTGTAGTTCAAGTTGAATTTCCACGCGCATTATTTTTAGCAAAATCCTCTTCAGTTTTTATGGAGGTATGCTTTATAAATTGTCGTTGTTTCAGCTGAGTGACAGTTTTGTATGAGCTGGCGATATGTGGCGTCGAGGATGTTTTGCCCTATGAATTTTTTTCGCGTAATTTTCGGGCCGAAAAAATGTGCATATCAATCATTTTGAGCCCGGTTTAACGCCAAGAAAAGATTTGGTAGTCGTGTTGCTCGTAGGCCAGGAGTATTGAGTCAACTATAAAGTGCGGGGACCAACAAAGTTATAGAAGTCAGTAAAATCAAGACAAAAATCCCGCTCATGGTGCTGTTTTCGTGGGGGGATTTTAAATTGATTAAAAACAAGTATTTTACGCCATTATTTTATTTACCAAGGCATGAAATACGAACGGCATTTGAATTTTGTTTAGGAACCCCTGCAAACTCAAAGGTTTTCAAACCCTTTCACGGCGTACAGTTTACAAAATATCTACCAATTTATAAATATCGGTTCATGATAATATTTCCACATACAAATTCACCAAATTTCCCTAATCGTGTATGCAGAAAATGCTGTGGGAATACAGGATTGCACATTGAAAGTTTGGTCACTAAACACAAATCACGTCTGAGAAGAAATCAAAATACAGTATTGCAAAAGAGAGTTGTCGCCATCGATTCGTTTTGCGTAACATTTGAATGTTTAACTTGATTTCCTACCCGCCATCAAGACAAACAGCAAAGCCAGTTGCAGAGTGGTCTGTGCGAAAGATGCAGCAATAGCAGCAGCACTAATCATTGCACTGCACGTCATGATGATGTAAGGTGCCCCAAACCACCTTCTGAATAAGTCCGCAAAAGGAGCTGCAAAAGAAAATAAAAGTACTTGTTATCTCAAAGTCGTTCACACAAATCTTCCATACTAAATCGATTTTTTTTTTATCATTGGTAAAACCATTAGTTAATCAGCAAACAGACTGGCTTCTCTAGTTCGTAAGAACTGCCATGAGAATTCGTCGCTTCAATGTAATTTACAAAAAAAATAACTGAGTTATTGCACCACCAAACTGACCGTTTAGGGTTGAATTGAAGTCAAGTTTGGCTGTTTCCCAGCGAATACTAAGTACATGCCTACATTTTAGTGTGGGCTTCCCGCATAGGCCTTCTTCTCACAAATTTCTAATATTTACCTACGAACCCAAACATAGCGATCACCAGGGCCACAATCCAGCCAATGATCCATGTTTGGGACACCAGCTGTTGCTTCAAAGTCGGCAGCATTATTCCGAGTCCCTTAGTGATCCCGACCCACATGAAGTTGTTCGTCCACCAGGCGAGGACCGCAATCCAGCCCATGAGGCCGCCGTCTGGCCCCGTTGCCTCGCCCATGACGGTCGTACGTCGCTTCGACACCAGAAAGATCTGAAATTGAAAACGTTCAAACGATTATTCTGTTATACCATTCAAAACTGTCAATGCACATCACTCTGCCTTATCTGCGCTTGCGCGGTAATAATTAGGGCTACTAAAATTGCAGAATTGTAAGTATTCATTGCAAGTATTTTTATGGAGTAAATGCCCCGAGAATTTTAATTTCATAAAAGCATTGCAGTTATATTAGAAGAGCTCGGAAGTAATGTAATTGAAGTCTGTTCAATCATCAGGCTTATTTGCAGCATGTGCGTTTTATCGTCAGTGTTGTTTTTATTCCTAATTTGGCGATATTCAAATAGGCCCACGTATGCTACTTCCTACAATAAAGAGATGAACTCCCTTAACTCCATAATTTTGGTAATTTGCAAATAGATGTTATAACTGGAGTACTTACGGGTCACTGAATGCTGAGATCCATCTCGAGTCTTTAAAGATAAGCCGAGAGATTGATGATTTTCAAAATTAGCATTGAAACCGAGGGCCCCAGAGCTCTCTTTTGTTGAGAGGATAAAAATGGACCTCTATTCATGCGATGACGTAGCACGAGAGCCTCGGTTTCAATGCTATAATTTTTTCAACGCCCTTTTATAATGCGATCGAAATACACTATACGGTGCGCCACCAATCGTTTGTCTCGAAAATGACACTTTCCAAACACAAACACAAGTGCATTTCAAAGTCTCGTTTTCAAATCGTATAGTTATGCCCCTCAAAATAAATCTAAATTGAATCACGTGTGACACAAACTAACTGTCTAGCCCTTACTGAAATCGAATACCTGTGCACTCGTCGTACAGGTCGACATATAAATACGAAATGTATGGCCACATGTGCAGCACAAAAATGAGAACATGCGCGCAATATTAGTTTAGGGTTTCTGCAGACCAGTAAATAAACTACCATACACCCCAGTAATAAATAACCCCATATCCAAAAAAATCCGGAAAATACTCACAACCCAAGGGTATTTGAGACACACATCAAATTCAAGTTTGTTTTATCATCTTTCATTTTCTGTTAAAGTTTTGAAGGGAAATCCGATGACTTTTTGGAGAAGTTTCCATCCAAAGCTGATCACTAAACAAGTCCTGAAGCCCATCCCACTAATGATGCCCACTCTCCATTGCAAACAGAGCAATTTAGGGCCTAACTTCAACCAAATCTCACAGAAATATTACAAGCTTGCAGTCCTGTTCCCGGCAACCGCCCTTCATTTTCACAAACCCTCAAGCTCATGTCCCACAAAATGCTTGAATAGCAGAGAATTTGGGGACAAGCAAATCCTGATTTGGCCGGCTTACGGTAATTTTGGGCCCATTTACTAGCAGGCTGCAATACAGCATACACGACGAACACCTTTTGCGCCCTCCAGCGGGAGTCAAGGTGCAGTCTGTTATATAATCGCAAGGCCGTAGATTCAGTGCAAACAGGGCGCTGGGAACGTCTGATGCCGCTTCGCCAACCTCGTGTCCAGGGCTTACCGGGTACTTTATTTTCAACCTCGTCTGCAATAGTGAGACAGCAGTAATTGTGAGCGCGTACTGCTCAACACCCTGGGGACGAGGTGGGCCACTTCGCATACATGACGTATGATAAACAGCTGTATAATTATGTAGCGAGTTTGAGCGCTGCATCTACGTCACAGGTCGCGCAAAATCTATCCAATGAGAGCGCAAAGAGCGGATCAGCCCTTCCCAGCGTCCTGGATGCAGGGCGGGGGTACCGGTGTAGCATGAATTTAGGTTTTATGAAATACGGACTCATTGGTGGTATTGCGCATGCTCATGCATAGATAATTAGAAGAGGCCGGTCACGTGAGAGGGTTTAACCAATAAAAGGGAAAAGAGTCGATTTTCATACGAGTCTGATTTTATATGACACCGGTCTCAGTTTGCAGAGCGATGGTCCGGGTACGAGAAAAGGCCGAAGAAACTTTCATTGAACTTTACTGCAGTGAACAGAACACGTTTAGAAGTTAGAGTCACTGATCTATGTATGTTGATGAGAGGTTTATGTGAACAGTAGAGTTGCTTTCTTTCTCTTCGAATGTCAGCGAATTGGTTTTAAAAAGTAATACACATCATAATGCCAGACGATTCACAGCGAGAATTTGATTCCATGGGTTGTTCCCTGGTTCTTCTGTCCTTCAGCGTCAACTTGTTGTATGGATGTGTATTAAAGAGTCTCGGTGTGCTGCTACCGACGCTAACGGACCAGTTTACGACGGACACATGGATCATTGGCATTGTGACATCATTGATTTCCTTTGCCTCAGATATCACAGGTAAATCTTACTATCTTGACAATGTGCAAAAGTTATTGTACATTATGTATTATTTTGATTTGTATTTGAAACTTCGATGTAAAACCCTACTGCATCATGCTTGCCTAATCTTTTAAATTATATGATTGTTTGTCACTAAAACCCCCGGTATATAGGATGGAAATGATGGTCGGTGGATTTGGCAGCGGCTTTTGTGTATGTATAGGTCGCCTTGTAAAACAGCTCAAAACCTTTTGGTTTTTTCCTCAAAACTGTGCAGTAAAGGGGATCTGTTAACGGAGAGTCAACAGAACTTGCCCTGTTTTATCGCAGTGTGCTGCGTCTCACTGTAACATGGCGAATTGACGAGCAAAGATCGTATAGTCTCTGTGAAAACGGTTTTGTAAAGATGTTCTTCCTAGTGGTGTGAGATAATGCATGAAACAAGCAGTTCATTAATTATTAAACAACGAAAATTAAATCGTCTGGGAGGTCACTATAGCTGCATCTGTTAAATTGTAATGCCTATTGGTTGTGTTATCAGCATTATGGGGATCAGTGCCATAACCAATAATTAAATATGAGAAACAAACATCTGCTTTTATGGCACTTTAATTATATAAGCTGATGTCATTACCTAGTCTGAGTATCACCCTAAATACGGCATTGAGGGGCATCCACAGTTCATATATAGACCCGTTCACAAAGACTATAATACCCTCAATAATACCTGACCCCATTTTACTTGCATTTGTCCAAGGTCTATTCACCGCACCTCTAGAAAACCTATTTGGTAGCCGCAGGGTGGTCGTCGTCAGCACTTTGATGATGTGCCTGGGTTTACTCGTAGTTCCCTTTGCAACAAACATCTTGCAGATAGCCGCCTTATTGGTACTTCTTGTAGGTAAGGTATCAAAGTTACAACGTTTGGCGGATCAAGGGGGCCAACGGGAATCATGCCCCCACCCCAGAAAAAAGGGTGACCGACAGTTTGCAATTAAAACCAGAGAAGGAGAAGAAGACTGTTTTGGATCGATGTTTTTGTTTAAAGTGCCTCCTAGTGTCCAGTAAAATTATTCATCAAGGCCTACCAGTACCATATTGCACGAAGTTTCAAAGCTTCAAGGGTTTTACTTTAATAATTACGCTAATTATCCATGGCAACTTTTGCGAGAAAGTGACACTTTATGTTTTCACGAAGTAGCACTCAAGTTCCATTATACCTTGTAATGTATGGCGCGCACGGTGCTCAATTGCGAGCAGAAACTTTTTCACGAAGTAACACTCTCCTTGTTTGAGTGCGCGCGCGCTGACCTCCGTTTCCACGAAGTAACACTCACCTATTGTTGTAATACATTGAAGCGCTACTCCGTGAAAACAGAAATTTATAGTTTTGCAGGTTTTTTGGTTTCACGAACTAGCACTCACATTTTTTCTCTTATTTCTTGTTGATTTAATATACAAACGAGTCAAAACCAGCAAATTTAATAAATTCAATACATCAAGTGTCCACAACGAGAACCCAAATGAAAATACTCTGCAGTTTTGACGCAAAGCGTTGTTCTAGAAGGCGTTCAACTTTAGATGCCGTTTTCTCCGATATAGTTTTTACTCGTATGTTACTTCGTGGTACTGACGACATTTCAGAATAGTATCCCGACCAAATACGACGAAGGATCCTGGTATACATTTCACTTTATCTCTGACTTTTAAAAGACGTGAATTTTATTTAAGATTGAAATTCACTTGTCAGTGCAATTTGAAGATCTCCACGAAACGAGGTCAAATTTATTCTGGTAACGAGAACATAATGCCAGCCACCACAATGACAGAGTTGAACATTGACTTGTATAAGTTTTTTTTTTAAATTGGAAATATTTGACAGAATTTTTCAAAACTACATATCTTCTGTGATCGTTTTTGTTTTTTTACAGGAACGAGTATTGGAATCCTCAATGTTCTCAGTAAAGCTTTACTTGCGAAGCACTTCCGTCGACATTTAACCGTCGCCTGCGGCATGGGCAATATAGGGCAGGCGGTGGCTCTTCTTGTTTTTGCCCCCATGATGCAGCTTTTCCTGGATACATACGGCTGGAGAGGGGCAACACTTTTGATGGCTGGGGTCTGCTTTCATGCCGTACCATTCGCTGTCCTCGTCAGAGATGCTGATCATAAACCCAACTATCAGCCCCTGACGGGTCGAAATGAGCATCACGAAGCAGATTCACCTGGCAAGAAGTGTCCTCTTTCTGCCGGAGCAAGTTGTCTTCGTCTCTGCAAGGCTACGAACCTCGGAATCCTCCTTGAGTTCAATTTCGTGATAATGTACATGTGCCGATTCGGACTCAACATTGCTTACAACTCCTGGATGGTCTACTTCGTCCCCCATCTTGTAGCCAAGGGGTGCTCGCCCCAAGTGGCCGCCGCGCTTTGCTCGCCGGCAGCGGTAGGGTACTTCATCGGGACAGTCATCTGGGCTCCTTTCATCGACCGTGGTCTGGTGAAGTGTACATCAGGGATAATCGTGAGCAGCTTGGCTTTGTCCGTCTCCTATGTGGTAGATCCCTGGGTGAATGACGTCATTGGCATGGCGGCTATTACCTTTTTGCTGGGTCTATCCTTATCGGCGTTGTATACCCTGACGGATGTCCTGACCAAGGAACTGTTTGAGATGGAACGACTCACGAGCGCGTTTGGATGGATTCGAGCCTTTGGATTCCTGCCCAGGATTCTGGCAGGATTTTTCCCTGGTAAGATACACAATTTGGGCTGAGTTTGTCATCAGCAAACACACAAAAGATTACTAGGGCCTATAAGGATCCGTTTTACAAGTGTACATGTCAATCAAATTACATTAGTGGAGCAGAAGAATGTAGTTAAAAGTGCAGTTACCTGAACCTGAAAATGATCAAAAACTGATAAGGCTCTATAATCCGAAATTGAAGTCTAAAGTATAATAGGCCATCAAACGTCGATCCCAAGTCCAGTCACGTCGATTACAAGTCATATCACAAGTAACATGGGATGGAGGATGGCAAACGAATGCCTCAGTCACTGTTCATTTGAAAAGCTTATAGTTAATTGACTATAGTGGTAGGATGACTTCAGTTGTAATTGACTTGTGATTGATTTAGCTATGTACACCTGTGCCGTTCCCTTTCAATCAACGGATATGATAACCGTTATTACTAACAGGGTGACCGTTTTTAGCCGATTTTCGGCTAACTTTGACAGATTTTTTGAAGGAAAACGATACATTTGTAAAAAAGCTTCAATCTTTTCAAAGAAATCCTTGCATAATGGGATAGGTTGTCTGGTCTATGTGCCGAGGTTCACTGAGAACCGTATTTTGTCGTGACGCAACCGCGTTTTGCCTAAAATGTATATAGGCAATTTTATAACATCTTTATGTTACTATAGATTGTTTATAAAATAATTTGAACCGTAATTAAGGCAATACTACAACATCTACATGTGATCTTAAGTGATTATAGTGTATTTTGAGTAATTCTGGGAAATTTAGCATATTTTGGATGACACTGACAGATTATTGAATTGCATTTAGCAGAATTTGGCCATGATCTTACGGTCACCCTGATTATTAGTTTTATTTGGGGGAATAATATGTTATCACCACTATTCCCACTACCATCAAAAGCCATCGCCATCATTACTTACCAAACCTGTAGGTTTTTTTCTCCAAATATTCTCCATCTTTGCTTCTATTTGGTAGGTTGGATTTATGACACGAGAGGTAGCTACGACGTGGCATTCGTCGTCTTCGGCTTTTCGCCTGTTGTCTCTCTACTCCCGATGGTTTTTGG